GAACTGCTCCAACCTGGCTGGAGTGGCTCCCCCTCTCCCCGCTGCAGGTAGGTGCTGCTCTGGCTGGTTTGAAGCAGTCCCTGCTTGTGGGGACCATAGCCCGCCGCAGGCAGGAGCTTCTCCAGGTTAACTTTAACTGGTTAAACATTCAAATCCCTATTTAAAAGACTAGCCAGGGAGCTTAAAATCATAAAGTTGCTTAAGGCTAAAAAACACTGTCTGAATAGAGACACAGGATTTATAGTTGATTAGAACAATCTGTAACACACTAACCCTCATCTTTACCTTGAATGCTACCTTATGGGCTAACAAACTTTGCTGAACAATCTGTTCCACCACGCATTTAGCCATGGTGCTTGCTGTACCTTTCCAGACCTGAAAAAGAGCTCTCTGTGGCCCAGAAGTTTGTCTAAACAGTAGAAATTGTTCCAATAAAAGATATCTCACCTACCTTATCTCTCTTAGACCCTGGGACCAACATGGATATACTGTGTACAATAATAAATAATGTAAGGAAAGAGAAATGCATCATGTCTGAATAAGATACAATGTTATACTTAGCTAATATTTGTAGAGGCCTGTGCAGATACAAAATATGTATCTGCATCTGCACTTGTATCTGCAAAAATGAGCTATGGATATCCTCATTGATTTTCAGGGCTCTAAATATTTGTATTGCAGTAGCATGTAGACCCTGTGTACTAGGGTTGCTACGTGTCCAATTTTCAGCTGGAAAGTTCAGTCAAAAGGGGACCTGTTCAATGTCCAGGCAGCACTGCCAACTGCAAACCAAAAGTCCGGTCACCATAGTAACTGCAAGTGGCCTGTGCCACTAAGAGAGCTGGAAGAGCAGCTGCTGCTGGAGGACGGGGGATCCTGACAGCACGTGATGCTGGGAGAGCAGGGCCAGCGACTGGGCTGGCTGCCCATGATGGCCCATCCTTTCTTCTCAAACTTCCAGTGCCCCAGCTATCTCTGGCCTCATTCCAGGGACAGACAGCCCTCTCCACACTGCACTCTGACTGAACAGGCAGGCAGGCGCCACATCAGCTCCTTCTGCCCTGACTCTACAAGTGAGTCTCAAGGAGGGGGGAATGAGCAACAGGAGGGCCTGTAGTGTTTGGTTTTGAAACAATGAATAGTTGGCAACTGTACCATGTGCTCGGCCCTGTGCAAACATTTAACAAAGATGTTCCTGACCTGAAAGAGCTTACAGTCTCAGGGCATATCTGCACTATGGTCTAACCCGACAGAGGAGTAATTGTACTCAGAGAGATGCTTTAGGATCCAATGTCCCAAATACAAGTGCATGAGACAGATTTCCTCAAATTTAGGGAATTATAAAAGATGTCTCATCAAAGAGCAGTGAGGAACAATTGTGCCTGTTCATGGAAGAGAGAGGGCACTGTACCACCTACCATCCTGACACCAGATCAGGTATGGACAATAATGGACCCTCAAACAGTATGTGACCCCCATATTGGCTGAGTCATACCTGCCTCTGACAGACACCTGAAGGATCTAATGTTCGTTTTGCACTTTAGCAACTTGTGCATATTTGTCAGTCCAATAAAGTCTCACTGATTTGAATTGCTTGTTGTCCCAGTTACCCTCCTCAAACTAGTGATAAACTCACGATCCTCAGCTGCATAATCTCTTTTAAGTCCATTGGGCCCAGGTCTCTGGACCTTGACTCAGCTGCCCTGGAAATAGGGATGTCCAGTTCCCATTGGCTTGCCGACAGACTCTGAGTTAGATGCAAAATTGGCAGGCATATCTCCACTGCTGCAATGCATCATATACACAATGGACAGGCTAGGAGCATGTTAATGTTGACTGGAGTCTTCTGTGGTATGTGCTGGATATAAATGCTTGTACATCTGCTATGTATTTTGAGCATAGGTCTCCTTGTTTGTCCTGGTGTGCTGCAAAGATGTTTTATCCTCTACGGATTGTTTGCTGTAGATAAGTCTGCGGATAAATGTGACCTTTCGTCAGTGAGAAAAAGAACAGATGATGGAGTGGTCTGAGGGGAAGTCCCAGGAATGTAAACAACCAGTCTTAGAACAATTCTGGTGGCCGATAGTCCTACTGTGAATTGGGATCTTAGGAAGGGAAAAGAAGGGAAGGGAATATTTGTAGCAGGTAGAGCAGTTTGGGCTTTCAGTTGCACTTGGAGGGACCATTGCACATGAACCCTGGAGCCAGCTGGATGGGTGGGTGGGTCTGGCAGCCTGGAAATAAATCTCTTGACCAGTAGCACTGTAGTTGGCTGACAGAGGGAGCAGGCAAGCGGGCAGCCCGTCCTCTCTGGCACCTCACTAACCTCCCTCTCTTCTGAAGAATTAGCAACCAATTTAGCGACTGTGCTCACATTAGCACAGGAGTCTCCAAACCTTTTAACCACAAGATCACTTTTTCAATTTAAGTGCAATGTAAGATCTACCTCAAACCCAAATGCCCTTGCCTGGCTTCCTTTCCCCCCCCCCTTCTTCTCTGGGGCCCTGCCCCTGCACCACCCCTTCTCCGAGGCCCTGCTCGCTCTGTTGCCCTTCCTCCCCGAATCTCATTCACTTTCTCCAGGCTGGGATAGGGCTGCAGGCTCTAGTCTTGGGCGTGCGGCAAATGCCCTATCCCCTAAGCCAGTGTTTCTCAAGCTTTTTTATAAAATACCCCTTTTTCAAAAAAAAATTGATAAGTACCCTCAGTACCTACAGTTTTCTCTCACTTTTTTTTACCATTGCAACGTATTTGTTTACACAACTTAATTATAGCTGGGCGGGTGATGAAATATTTGGGTGTAAAAAGTACAAAAATAATGCAAATGATGTAAAACTTAAAACAAAACTTCAGTTTTCTCCAAATTTCAGTTGTGTTGATATACCCCCCCCCCCCCCCCCCCTACTCTTCTTGAGGGGCACCGTCCTTGGCCACTAGGCATTCTAGTATTCAAAGAATTAAATTTAAGCCTAAGAGAGAAATTAAAGTTATGAAATGCCCAGACTAGTAAAAAAACTAAAAATAACCCACTTTGCAAGCAGTAAAAGTAGTAACAACTCCCCCCGCCTGGGTACCTGTTGGGTCAGGAGATGAGAGGGAAGGACAATGTGTGAGAGTGACAGAGATTTGTATTGCCAAGCTCCCTCCATCCCTTCTCTCTATGTGGAGATGGGGTACAGGATTGGGGGGGAGGAGGGACACCCTGATATCAGCACCCTTCTCCCACCCACATCCTGCACAGCAAGCAGGAGGCTTCCAAGGGGCAGCTCCAAGGCAAGAGGACAGGAACAGCATGACAGTGGGTAGAGGAGCAACCGAAGTGCTAGCACGTGAGAGCTTCCAGGCCAAACCAGTCAGGATCCCCTATCAGAGTCTCCAAGATCTACCGGGAGATCCCGATCTACTGGTTGGGGACCACTGCATTAGCAGATAACATTCATGCTTTGATGCATGCTCAGCTATCTGGCGCCCGGACGGCACAGCACAAAAGCGCATGCTTGCTTTAAGTGCAGGCGTCACCCTGTTGACATGCTCTAGCAGTTTGCTGTCTGGGGACTAGAGCACACAGCACTCCGTAGGACCAAGCCCTGCCTCTCTCGGGCTTCAGATGTCGTGGGGGGAAAAGGCTGTTCCACTTTCTAACGGATCTTCATAATGACAGACTCAGCAGAGAGGCCAAGAGTTTAAAGAGCCAAGGAAACGGAACTGTTTCCGTTGTTTCAGCTGGTCTGAACTAAGACAGGGCATGTGGAAAGCTCCCACTGCTGCTGCCCATATTTCACATGGTCTGAGGGCAGAGAGACCTGCACACAGACCATCCCAAAGGCATGAGATGAGTGGGCCTGGCTGCCTCTCTCACGCATGCCCTTGGGGAGGGGGGATTATTCTCCATCCTGGATAAGTTTAAGTGATGCCGCTCTAGGTGGAAAAATACCAACCCCCCAGCTCAGCGCTGGCGCTCCGTCCATTTATATTGCACATGTCACACATGGCTAGAAACAATCCATAGGGCATTGTGAAAAATCCGAGCATGCCACCGATGCCAAGGTCAGGGTGACCTAGGTTTGCTTCTCACTAGAGCACATATGCTAAGCACTCCCATCACGGGTTTTGCTTCAATGGTGGTTTCAGATGTGGGAGCATCAGTGGAGATAGGGCCCCAGCCCTGCCAGCATTGGTGCTGGAACTAAATGGGAGAGGTTTGGGAAGGCTTTTATATACAGTTTACAGTTGCTTCAATAGCTTGCAGCATCCCCACTATATACATTGTTCCAGCACCCCTCTCTGCCAGCGTTTTACGCTGACCTGATCTGAGCTGGGTTACCCCTGTCTTCATCTGCGCTTCCATCATGGCTGCTGCTGGCAGACCTGAACCAGTGATCGCAAGACATGCTGACAGGCCAAGTGAGGCAAGGCCACCGGCACATCAGACAGCCCTATGGCTCATGGTGATGCCAAATGTCACTGCGAAAGGAAATGAGCATCAGTTGCCTCTGGGCCACTCACTTCCCCCACTTTCCCTCACGTGACAGGCCGATGGGTTTTGCGAGTTAACTTCGGAAGAGTTCACTGTGACTCTCTTTTAACTGAGGACAGGACTGCAGGGTGGCGTAATACATTTACCCCCAATCCGGGTTCTGAGGGGGTATATGGAAGGCAGACTAGAACTCTAGCTAATGTTTGATGGGGGTGAGGCGAGATAGTTGAAACGAACACAACCCGGGGAGAGGGTGGCAGTATCCCGATGACTAGCATCATCTCTGAATAAAATCTGCCTCTCAAAGTACCTTAGAAGGAGGTTGATTAGCAAACTGGCTTGGGACTCAGGAGACCAAAATCTGCCACTGAAGGGTTGTGTGACCTTTAGCAAATCACAGCATGTCTCTAAGCATCGCCAGCTCTACAATGGCTACAGTAATGAGGGAGGCAGTGTGGCTAGCAGGAACAAGGGGTTGGCTGGGAGTCAGAGTACTGAGTTTTAATCTTAGCTCTGCTAATGACACACAATGTGGCCTTGGGTCACTCACTTGACCTCCATTTCCTCAGCTTTAATAAGGGGCAGGAAGCCTGATTTACAGAGGGTTGTGAGGTTGACACAGTTCAGACTTTGAACAGCGCAATTCCCTTTGTGGAGACATAGAAAGCACAATATGTGTGGACACAACAGAGAACATCCTGGAACAATACATTGGCACAAACCTCTATGCTGCAAGGTGGGATTGTAACACAATGGGTTCTCCCTTTCCTTCCCCGAAATTCTAAGACCAGCACCATCCCTATTCATTTTTCTGCTTGTTTTCCCCACCTCCCTCTCGTCTCTCTCCTCTCTCTTTTCTTTGCCAACAAGGGAAAGTGCAGCTTTTATACAATTATGATTAAGATTGTTGATGCATTTCCAGCTGCTAGCACAGGGCTGTTTGCAGCATGGGAGACACACAGACTAGGATCAGCAAGATCAGTTTTCAGAAAGGGGAGGGCAAATGGCGTAACCCAGTGTTAGTCATTTCCCATCAGCAATCCTTTATCATTGGCTGCCGTCAGCTGAAACCAGGAATGTTTGCTTTCACCAACCACTACCATCCCAAAATCCAGAAGAGTTCTTTCCAGCCTGGCCTGAAAAATTCACATCCCAACCTGCTGTGTATTCAGCCACATCCTATTGGCAGTAAAATGTCAGAACATTTTCTTGGTTTCCTCTGGTCAGAATAACTGGAGGTCTTAGGTCTTGTGAGAGGGTTTCTAGCCAGGCCATATAGAGGGAGCTGGGGCATCGCCCCTTTCTGCCGATTGGCAAGGTTCTGGAAAGAAAAGAACAGAGAGGTAAAAAAGGAAGGAGGAAAAAACGTTTGCATTTATTTTTGCCTAGGAAGAGTGTCCATTTAGATTTGCAGATTCTATACCCTCCTTATATAGTATGTGTCACCCGCTTTCCCAGCTGCGCATTTTCTCTGTCCTGTCTAGGGCTGTCAAGTGATTTAAAAAATTAATCACGCTGTTAAACAATAAGGCGGCTTCAGCTGACCCCAGGTTCCGCATTGCGCTGCCCCTTTGAAATGCCGCCGCAGCATTTCACAGGGAAAGCATTGCACGGAGCCTGGGGTCAGCTCAGGAGTCCTCAGCTGATTCCAGGCTCCACGTTGTGCTGCCCTTTTGAAATGCAGTGGTGGCGTTTCAAAGGGGCAGCACCATGGAAACGCCTGCGATTAACACATTAACTGTTCTCTGCATTAATCTCCGGCATTAACACGTGTTAATTGACAGCCCTAGTCCTGTCTACAACACTAAGTCCTGTTCACTTCAAATTCTGCTTTGTGCTATCTGGGCTAGCTAGGGACTGAGCAAAACTGATAAACTTGACTGGTAGGGCAGGCACTAATAAATAAATCCTTAATTAGCTAGTAGGTGGCATGTGACTACAGGCTGTGGGGTGAGTTGAGTGCTAGTGGCTGAGAGCTCTTACAATCAGGCAAGGACCACAAGAAAGTTAAGTGAATTCAGAGTCAACTGGCCTTCCTGGGTCACTTGGGACCGACACTATCTGGAGGGTTGGAAAGAATTTCTGAAAGAAGGACAATCTCACAACAGTCAAAATCTAATGGCATCACTGATGCAGGGCCACCTGCTTGCCTGTTTATGGCCACAAGAATGTAGCCTCCAAAACTGTAACTACTAGGCCTTATGGGCCTGAGGTTCTTGTGCAATCCAGCAATTTGCACCACTTAGGAAGATAACAGGGGCCAGAAAGAAGGTGCATCTCCCTAGAATTTCTCAGCCATGCAAAGTTAACACAGACCCAGATCAGCTCACTCCTACACAATTCCCACCACACCACCTTGGCATAAGGAGTGCTGTTGCATTCCAGCTCTTCTCGGCCTGAGATTGGCCCCTTGGGGCTCTTCTATCAACTAGTGTAGTTTAGAGCAATGGCTCTCAAACTTTCCCCCTTTCAGGACTCTGATTTGCCTTGCATACCCCCCAGTTTCACCTCATTTTAAAAACTACTTGCTTACAAAATCAGGCAAAAATACAGAAGTGTCACAGGGCACGATTACAGATCAATTTGCTGATTTTCTCATTTTGCCATATAATTATAAAATAAACCTATTGGAGTATAAATATTTGACTTACATTTCCGTGTTTAGTATTTAGAGCAAAATAAACAAGTCATGAAAATTTAGTTTTCATTAACTTTGTTAGTGCTTTTATGTAGCTTATTTTAAAACAAGACAAATATGTACTCCCTGGAAGACCTCTGCATGCCACAGCCATGCCCTGCCCCCGGATATGCATATGCCTGGCTGAGAGCCATTCGTTTAAATCAGGGGTCTCCAAACTACGGCCCGCGGGCCGGATGCGGCCCGCGAGGCCCTCTCATCCGGCCCGTGGAGACCTTTTTGTCTACGGAAAAAAAATTACGGAAATTTACGTGTATCCTGCCAAGATCAGCCGCCGCTTACGTGGATGTTATGTTTTTACCGAATTAAAATAGAGGCACGCAGTAGTGCGTTATGTTTTCCAACCGATCATTACATTGCAAAACCTTATTCGCTGCTTACTTTTTAGTAGTGTATCAATGTTATTAAATAATAACTGAATAAAATAATATTAAATAAATAATTAAAAACAACATCCATGTTTTGATTGTTTTTTATTTGGACCTCAAGTGTGTAGTCGGCCCCCGAACTGCTGTTTGATAGTTAATGCGGCCCTCGGGCTGAAAAGTTTGGAGACCCCTGGTTTAAATCATCCCCGAGGCTGCTCTAAAAAAAAGCCAAGACTGGCTCCTGTATTTTTATCTGGGCTTTTGTGCTGAGTCCATGCTGAAGCAAGCTGCTGCATAGAAGGGGGGTTATTTGGGAGCATACATTGATTGGTAATATCTGTTTCGTTATTATCATGTGGAAGGGAGAAGACTGAGGGGACTGTGTCTAGATTAATCTAGCCAAGGACTAAAATAGACTGACTTGCTGGAGAAGACCGTACGTAAGAGGTGCATGATGGACCCTGATCACCGCTATTACTTACATGGCTATGAGAGCAGCATCGCGTGAGTAATCCAGCAAGATCTCATTCAGTCTCACTTGTCGAAGTGACTAAGGAGCAAGAAGCAAAAGTCAGTTACAAAGTCAGTCAGTGTCCACCTGCAATGCACATGGCTCTTGCTGATCTAACACCCACCATGGCCAGTGGGAGTCATTCCATTGACTTCTGAGAGTCCTGAGACCATATTGCAGGGCTGTGGTCATTGGCCAAAGACAAGAGATCTGTGTAACTCGAAACCATCCCATGGGATTCAGGATGAACCGTGAGTGTGACCCACCCTGGTTACTGGTGACCCACTAGCTGCTAGCAATGGACATTCCTAAAGTCAGCCTGGTCTACCTGCTGATCTTGTTTCCAGGCAAACATGCCACCTCCCTTAGCCTCTCTGAGAGGTGTTTCCTTTCAAACCCTTTGGTCCCTCCCCTTGCTTCAGCATGGACTCAGCATAAAGAGCTCTGTTCTCCACTGCAGTATGAAGGGTCCAGTTTGTCCCCAGTGATGTGAATGGCAACACTTCCATGGACATCCATGGATGCAGAATTGAGCCCAGAGGACCTAAATCACTAAGGCTACATCTACATTGCAGTCTTCTTGCACAAGAACTTTTTGTGGAAGAAATCTTCCACAAAAAGTTCTTGCACTAGAGTGCGTCCACACTGCCATGGATGCTCTTGCGCAAGAAAGCTCTGATGGCCATTCACAGAATGGCCATCAGAGCACTTGTGCTTTTTCCGATAGGGGTTTCTTGCACAAGAAATCCCTGTTGTCCATCCACACACACCTTTTTGTGCAAGAGCTCTTGTGCAAAAAGGCTTATTCCTTGTAGAAAGAGGAATAACTATTGCGCAAAACGCCCTGTCTTCTGACAATCTACTGTACTTTTTCTTGTGCAAAAATGCGCTTGCAGTGTGGACGCTCCGCAAGTTTTTGCACAAAAATTCTGCAGTGTACACGTAGCCCAAGCGCCTAGTGTTGTGAAGTGCTGTATGCTATTGGCTTTGTACTGATGTTGATGGGAGAGGAGGGTACTCAGCAACCTACAAGAGCCTTTCAGCACTTTGCAGGATCAGGATCCTGGAAAAGCCTGGATGCACGAAGAGCTTTCTGAATCTTGCATTAGGTCAGAAGAATTCTCTCCACAAGAAACCTCCCTCCTCCAGCCACTGACATCGCCTAATAGCAGTGGCAGTGTCCCTACCTTCGCTTTGTTTTTATTAACCTCCTCATCAGAAATCTTCCAGGGGCAGTCCCGCCTCATTTCATTCACCACAGCCTCGTCCTTCAACCCATCGTTCAGCCTGAAGGGGGCGATCAGCTCATCAAATCTCTTGATGCTGCAAGCAAAGAGCATGATAGGACTGGAGCTCTGCCTTGACTTTTGTTGTATGGGGTGAGTGCTGCGAGGGAGTGTGAGCATGAGGGGGTGGGAACGTTTCCATTAGAAAGATGGTGAGTGTAATGTTTTGCTGTCCTCTGAAGAAAGATCCTCTGAATCACTATGGATAGGTCTCTGGAAACCTCAGCTCAATGCACAGCAGTGGGCTAAAAAGCTAACGGTGTGTTAGGAACTATTGGAAAGGGATAGTACATAAGACAGAAAATACTATACTGCCTCTCTGTAAACACTCAATAGACCCACCCTTGGAATGCTGCATCGAGTTCAGGTCACCCTATATAGTGGAATTGGAACCAGTTCAGAGAAGGGCAACAAGGACGATCAAGGGAATAGATCGACTTCCACATTGGGGGAAATGTAAAAGATTAAGGCTGATCATATGATGGAGGTCTATAAAAGCACAACTGGTATGGGAAAAGTGAATAGAGAAGTGCCATTTACACTTTCCCACAATACAGATATGAGAGATCACCCAATGAAATGAATAGGCAGCAGATTTAATACAAACAACAGAAAATACTTCTTCACACTATATACAAATTGACCTGTGGAACTCATTGCCATGGGATGTGATGATGGCCAAATGTGAAACTGAGTTAAGAAAAGTGGATAAGTTCATGGAGGACAGACAGCGATGGACCTCTTAGCCAAAATGGTCAGGGATATAACTTCATGCTCGGGTGACCATAAGCCTCCGATTTCCAGAAGCTGGGAGGGGATAACAGGGGTGGAATCTGTTCAGAATCACCCTGTTTGGTGCACTCTCTCTGGATTGCTGTGCTAGATGGGCTATCGGTCTGACCCCCATATGTCTGATTTTACATTATAATAATCTCAGGGAAAAGCCTTTTTCTCAAAAATCTAAATTTTTCTATTATTTTGCTGAAAAATGTCCATTTTCCATTAGGAGAACCAAAATGAAAACTGTCCACCTAGAAGGATCTTGTTAATTTCCCTATCTGCTGCAGTTTTATACTTCTGTCCATTTCAGCTCTTCCAGGATGGATTTTTTTTCTGGAAATTCCTGCTTTTTAAATATTTCATGTTTGGGGCTTTTCAACCCAATCCAAGATAATTTTTTTGAAATGCGATTTTTTTTTCCAGCCAGATAAGAGAAACTGCCCTGGAAACTTAATTTCTCTATTACAAATCAGCCTCTTTGTTGGCCATCTCAGCCAACTGAACAGGCCTATGGCGATGTTACCTTGATGGTATCTGTTCATCCTTCTATGTCCTCTAGTCATCCTTTTTTCCACATCTAGTGATCTGGGCCAAACCAAGGCCATGGCACATTGTCTGAGCAGCACCGAATAGTCTTGACCTTCCTCTCTGTGCTGTGAATGGTCCAGTCCTAACACCCCAACAATGTGTCAGGTGCCCCCCAAATCACAAGATTTGAATAAAATCACGTTGGGCTCTTTTAATTTGGTTTCTGGCACATGAGCCTTTAGGGGGGCATGTTTTCAGACTTATCTTGATCTGCAGGGGGGCTGGAAATTTACTTCTTTATATATAATACCATGCGGCTTGTTCTGAAATTGTGATAGTTGAGAGCACTGATTTTCTTTGGCTAAAGACAAAACATAAGTGTACAGGTCTGGCATCATTCCTCTGCATGAAATTAACTTAAAATGTAGAAAATGATTGGGTTACAAGTGTAATTTCCTTTTTCTCTCTCCCAAACTTTCATATTCCACATCTGGTAGACTCTGAGCCTCTAACCAAAGCATGAGATGAACTGGGGACAAGAATAACTCTCACTTGATATAGTGATAGACGCACGCACATACACATTATGTCTAGAAAATTAAATAAGCAAAGACAAAAAGTATAGAAATAACATACTGTTCAGGGCGTGGTTGCTGGTTAATGTCGGGAAGGACATGCACCTCATGGAACCCAAGGCGGAACTTGTTCAACAGAGACACAATCCTGTAAGACAGAAAAAGGGGGATTTTTTTTTTAAATCTATTCATTTTTTTCCTACTCAATATTTTACTGACCATCCTAGAAACACTCTCAGGTGATCTGAACACGTAAGAGTCAGGAGAAACAGTGCCGCCTAATGGCAAGAGCCACTTCTAAGATATAGGAGACCTGGGTTCTGCCACTAGCCTGCTGAGTAACCATTGGCAAGTAAATATGCCTCTTTGTGCCTCGGTTTCCCCATCTGTAAAATAGGGATATTGTTACTGACCTCTTGTGAGGTGTGCTTTGAATGGTACATAAGAAGAGTATTATTGTGAATAAAATAACTATTGGCTAATCAAGGCCTACAAACACAAGTCTAGTTTTCACTCTTCTGAGGGCTCCACTGAAGTCCACTCAAGGTGGCAAGAACTTAGCCAGGTAGTAAGTGTTGGCACGGTCATACTCAAGGTGAAAAGTCAGAACCAGGAGGTGGCAGGGGGAGCTTTCAAGGTGTGGCAAATTTATCTTTTTCTGATCCACCAAGAATTTAGCAATATCAGCCAACTATATTATCCTACAGTATGGTAGTGCAGAGTGGCAGTTGATTACTTTCCCAATTATTGCTGACAATTCTTTCTGTGTTCAGCTCCTGTAATTTCACGAGCCATCTAGTTCAGGCCTCTTACAAGTGGGAATTATATTTGCATGGTCCTCAGTGTGTGGTTTGGTTTGATTTTTTAAAATCATAAATTCTCAGCTCTCATTTCCTCTTAATACATTTGTCTGTAAGCAATGTCATTTTAAAATAAACAGACAGACAAACAAATGGGGCCCATCCTCTGACAATGTAAATCACCACAGTTACGTTCATTGGAGTGGAATTATGTGGTTTTACACGTGCTGAGGACCAGGACCAGGACTAACGTTTTAAATGATCAAAACCAAAACAAGAACTTCTGAAATTTCTACAACAAAGCGTGTGGGGCAAGGAGCAACCAACATTCCAGACTTAACTCCCCAAAGGGTGCTGCACATCTGTGAAATAGTCCAGCCTATGGGCTAGGTGACAGGTCACTGGTGGTGGGCTCTTTTTATACTGTGCATTTACATTTCTAGGAATCCGCAGAGACGAGCTACCATTTAGTTATTGTAATTAATCAAAAATATACGCTATTCCACCAGAATACACCGCACAGATACAAGGCCCTGTGGGATTAGTGGCAGCTCATGGTCTGACAAGCTGATATGATCAATGCTCAGCGATGACTCACGCCTTCCTCTCTTCATCCATCCTCTGGATCTGCCCACCAACAAACACCCGGGTTTTGCACTTTCCCCACCGCTTCTTGCGACTGAGGAGGTAGGGAATCAGGAGCGTCAGACCTGCCACAGAGAAGAACATTAGGATGGGTGCGAACAGCTGCTTCACATTGTGAATCCAAGATGGAGAAGACCCTGTGGGCTTGCCAGCCCATCCTCCTGTCAGTGCGTCCCGGGACGTATTCTCTAGTGTGCTGCTCGGTCTACTATTAAATGTCCTCAGCTGAAATCCCATATCCCATTGCCAGATGTCTGAGTTGCAAGTAGTCCCGGAAAAGGAGAAACACATCCCCTTGCCTAAATGAATGAGTTTTCCTTGGTGTCCATTTGAATCCTTCTCCCTCCTCACTTTCCTCCTGCACCAGGCCCCGCAAGCACCAAGCCAAAACGAGAGGAAGGCTGATCCAGTGATTCGGGTACTCGCCTGGTCTCAGGACATCTCTACTCCACCAAACACGCCCTCTATGGCTTTGGGCAACGCAGTCTTTCTGTGCCTCAACTCTGTGTCTGTGCATTGCCCGACTCCAGTTACATTGCAGTCTGGCTTCCTTTATCCGAAATTCCAAACCCGGCCCCAGAGGCACTGCCTCAGCGCTGCTGGCTCAGCAGCAAATGAGCTTGAACAGAAAGCTTTTTGTTCGGTGTTTGTCCAGCACCTAGCACAGTGGGGCCCTGGGCCATGACTGGGGGCCCCAGGTGCTACAGTGATACAAATAAACTATAATACTTTAGTGACTCATTTCTGATTCATTCCACAGCTGCCCCTCACACCTTCCTGCACTCGCTGTTTCCCTCTGTTCTGATCCCCTCATGCCTCTACCTTCTCTTGTCTTTCCAATTAGCTGATCCCTTGGGGGGAAATCATGGAGCAAATACGTCATGTACCGCCATCACATTGATTGCTCCACACATTGATTGTATTTCTTTCCCCTATCCCTTGCCTGTAGGGTCTACTTAGATTGTAACTCCTCTGGACCGAGACAGCCTAGAGCTTTACTGGGGGTGCTGAGAGTGCTTGAACGCAACTGGAAACCCTAAATGGAAACCACTCCAAGCCAGGGGTAGCTGCAGCCCCCACCCCTCACACTCCTAGTTCCAGCACCTGTGCAGCTTCATATTTGTACTGTGCCTTGCACAATGGAACCTCAATCTCGGTTGGTCCCAAGACACTACCATAACAAACATGATTAACAAAAGCAAGTCTCGGTAGCCAGTGCTGCTCTCAAATACTGAAAAGGAAACCTGGGGATCAAAAGGGTTAGGAGGTTTGCAACTAACTTTTCTGCTCAGAACTAGTCTGTTAAAAGCCCCCTGCTATGCTAACATCAGCCCTGGCAGAAAAGGCAGGGCAGCAGGAGACAGTTGGCTAAGAGCGTTTGAATGAGATTTGCAAAGCTGTCTAGCAGAGTAGGGCACCCAAATCTCATCGGTACCTAACTCCCTTAGTCACCTTTGAGAATCTCAGTCTGTATGTCCTCAGCAGGCCATGCTGGCCAAGCACTGGGGAAGCCTTTGGCAATCAGTTTCATTCATGAGCTGAACAGGGCCAAGGGTGGGGGTGGGGAGGACGTGGGTATGTATAGAAATAACAATATAAAAATCCCAAAGCTATAGCAGACTGAGTGTGTTTAGTAAGGCCCAAGGTCACCTCCATCATCAAAGAGCCAGTAGATGTCAATGGTCTTCTTGCCCTGTTCAGTCTGGAAGATGGTGCTTGCTTGCTGTTCTGCTCTCAGGGCATCAGGATCCACTAGAAAGGGGGAAAGAACCGGCAGCATGAGATACGGGTCCTAGAATGCGACATGTGCTGTCCTTCCACCTCTCTGCAGCAGGTGGCAAGACCTTCCTAGTCCCTGCATACTGCAGCAAAATGCTGTCTACAAGCCATCCCCTGTGAATGGATGAGTCAGCAAATCTTAGGAGCTGAACCTTGTTTCTGTGTTTGGCTGGGCAAAACCCTGAATCCCAAACGCTGCTGACTCAACTGCTGTGACCAGTATCTTTGTTTACAATGGAACAAACCCAGTTCCCAGATTTGGATATCACCAAACTTCAAGAAAGTTCAGATCTGGACTTTGCAGCCAGGGTCCCTCTGTAACTACTAGCCAAAAATCATTCAGCTACTTGGCCTCGACATAATAGAACATCATTAATTTTCACTCCAGGTTGGAGGATGAGCATTTCATATTACAGAGATGAATGTGGTTAGAACTAACATGTGCCTGTCACAGTGGGTACCACTCCATTTGCTCCATTCTCTTTGGGGTCTTCTGATAGGTCAAAAACTGGGTTAACTGCAAAAGAGATGTCAAGAAGAATAAAGGTAATGGAGACATGAAAGATAAAACAATGAAAGTTTCTTGTCACTTAGAAAACTATTATGGCTAAATCGAATGGACATTTAATTTGTGTTAATTTTAATAACATCATGAATAGAAAGTGCAAACGCTAGTTTAGACATTCTTACATATAGATGCAGCATTAAAGTCTGCTGCATGTGTAACCACCATGGCTGGATTTGAACGTAAGACCTCTGGAGCTTAGTGTAGGAGCCTCTAGGCTTGAGCTATAAAGCCAGCTGGCTAGCAGCTTAGGTTGTAGAACTCACTTGTTCTTATCTCTCGCTGTCAGTGGTCTAAATGTCCCTACATGGGAGAGTGAACCACACCTACTAGGTGTGTGGTTACACATGCATCATAGTTTAAGGGGAAATTAACTTCTTTTGCTGATTTCTTGTGCAGAAAAGGCATCACTTAAAAGTTCCATTTAAGCCCTATACTGAAAACATAAATGGTCTATAAATTTCAAGCCAGCCTTTTGCACAGGAGTTAATTTTCATCCATAGCCAGCCTTCACAGACCCTAACAAAGATTTAAAGCATGTTAAAAAGCAGAAGTTAATTGACCTTAGAAAGACAAAGTCAGTTTCTGTCTGCCCCAGGAACTCCTATGCACCTTGGGCAGAACAACTCGGTTATTTTAGAGATGTGCCTGTAATAGGACTGCTGATCACAAGGTGCAGACATCGTCTTAGTGAGTCTTAAGTAGTGCCTCGACTTTGTGCGAGCCCCCTGCATGGGAGTGAATGGTTATCCTGTGAGGAATTTGCTGACAATTTGTCCTATAGCCTTTCATCACTCTTTGTGGGTGCAGTGATAAATTAAAGGAGAACCAAGCAGTCAGGCTGATCTTAGATCAGGGCTACTCAACATGCTGCCCCGCGGGCCACATCCAGCCCACGGCCCGTTTGTTCACAGCCTGCGGTGCAGTTTGGGTTTACGCAGGGCTCAACACGTGGCCCGCGGGTGGGATCCTTTGAACGCGGCCTCCACTGGGAACACGCTCCGAGCATTGCCCGGTGCTTTCTGGGAAGCTCTAAGGACGGGGGAAGGGGGGAACGTGTGCCGAGTGTTGAGGACTGGCTGCCCCTTCTGCCCAAGGCTCCGCCCCTTCCGGGAGCATGAAGCAGGCGTGGTTGCAATAGACACTTACTGTGAGCCTGCATCATCCTGGAAACATTCAGCCCTTCCTTCGTTCTCATTAAGCACACTCCATACTTGAAGTCGAATGCGTCACTGGAACGAGACACAAAACACAGACCTAGCACTGACGTTCTTTGCTTTTCTCAGGACTATGGGTCCGGCCCAGACATTGGTCACTCTTGGAGACAAGACACCTAATGAACCTGAGCGCCCAGCCTTTCCAGTGAGGAATGCCTCTACGAGCTAACCACAAATGGCATTAGTGTGACCTCCATAACTGATGTGACAACAGAGGAAATCCTGCCCCCAGCACAAATCCTAGGTGGCCAAGTACACCCTGAGGAGACCCAGAGATAGCCAGGAGTGCTGAAGCATTCCCACCCCAGCACAGAGCAGTGAGGAAAGACTCCGGTCTCAGAGTTTCCCTGTGGTGGAGATGGTGCTCAGAGACCATTCAGTGCTTACAATGAATACGAGACCTCTGCTTTATTCTGTGTCCAGTTCCAACTGGTTGTGTCTAACAAGAGCTTTCTAGTGTTCCACCCAGACTCTATCTGGGAAGCTCAATGCTTAACAGCACAGCCCCCAAAACCACAGTGGATGTGTTTCCCATCCACTCTGGAGAAGGGGCACAGAGAGATTGAGGCCACGTCTATTCTTACGTGCCAAAGATCAATCTTCTGGCGTTTGATTTAGCGGGTTTAATTAAGACCTTCTCTATAAAATCCTACTCCGTTGCCTGCTCATGGCATGAAGGTGACCCTGGGCTCTCGAATGGTTTTGCGTATGGTCCTGGCAGCCGACTGTGTGTCCACTGTCCAAGGATCAACCTAGCAAAGTGCAGAGAGGTTTGTTACCAGAAAGTTGGCCACCAGGCGATGATTTGGCCACAGCAACTATGAACAAAATAATACAGGATGACATTCCATCTTTTGCAGTTCCTCCTTGCTTCTGCAGTGACAGTAATAGTGCTGGAGTGATGGATATGGAGGCAGAGGATGCCACGAATCTGGCAGTACTGAGAGATTGTCCATTTGTGTTAATGTATATGTTGGCACACTTAATGTGCGATCCTTCTCAAGCAATGAGCAGGTCGATATATTGCTGGAAGAGCTGCATCGTATTCGCATTGACATTCTTGCCATAACTGAAACCAGAAGAAAAAAGGAAGTCGTGGCAAAATGGAAAGATGGATCATAAATTCTTCTGGGAGCAGCAGAAGGAAAAGTCGGGGGAGCTGGATTTATTGTGCACCCAAAAGTGGCAGAAAACATAATTTCATGGATAATCTTATCATCTTGTATTGGAATGCTCACAATGAATGTAGGTAAATGGGCCACCATGAAAATAATTGTAGCCTACACACTGACATCCACTGTGGAAGACAAAGAAGTGGAAAGGTCCTATGAAGAACTTCATAGGATTCTTCAGACTAAAACAACATACATGTTGGTGCTTGGCGACTTCAGTGCTATAGGGGAAAATTGAGAAAACTACATCGAACAATATGGCTCAGGTATGAGAAATGAAAGAGGTCCAAGACCGGCTGACTACACAGAAGCCTCAAGTCTACATATCATGAACACTTTCTTCAAGAAGAGGGTTGGAAGGCGATGGACTTGGCGAGCACCGAATGACATAATAAGAAATGAAATCAATTATGTCTTGGTGGACAAGAGGCAACTGGTTACAGATGTAACCGTCATTTCAGAATTGGTCATCTGTGTACAGTCAGACCATCGACTGGTTAGAGTGAGTCAAAATAAACATACGGGCAGAAAGGATAAAGGCGAGAATTAGGCACTGCATGCGGATACAACAGTTCCACTCAATCTGTTTAAGTATGCTGTCGACTCTGAGTCACAGGAAATGGATGAAATCAAAGATATTGATTCCAACTACTATCACTTTTTAGCGAAGTTTGACAAATGTAAAACTGCTGCAATTATGAAGAAGCCTAAGGAGTCCAGAAACCTTCTTACCCAGCAACCGCTTGATCTTCTTGCTAAACAGAGAGAGATGGCAGCCAAGTGTGATACTGGCCTGGAGTATAAGCTTGTCTGTAAAAAGTCGAGGAGAAAGATGATAGATTATGAGCAATATTGCCTTGCAGAACAGTAAAAGGCAGTTGAAGAGAAAAGAAGTTTGCGAAGAGCTCGGCGTGAAATCCAGCTAAGCCAACCTCTTCCAAGCGCATTTGTTGATGAAAATGGTAAAAGAATGACAAACAGACGTGAAATGGAACAAATGTGTTGGCGCTTTTATAGTGAACTATTTTTGTCAACAACAGCAGTGGAGCCATTGTACCTGGGCTCCGCCACTCCCAAACCTGATGTGCTCCATGAAGAAGTGGCAGCGGCCCTTCAGAAGATGAAATTGGGAAGAGCAGCAGGTTTAGACCAAGTACATGAAGAAGAACTTTGTGCGGGAGGTGATACACTCTTAAAAGTACTTAGTGAGAGATTCTCAAGATACATCGAAGGGGGAGAACTCCAAAAGATTGGAAGAGATCGAATGATTTAAAATGCTCTTTAATGAGGGGAGAATTTGAAAAGACTGGAAGAGATCACGAACTGGTCTTCTGCCAAAAAAAGCGCTGCTGAAGACAGTTGCAACTATCGACCCATCTGCCTGCTGCTTTTTCATCTTTACAAGGTCTTTATGAGAATGATCTATGCCCATATTGAGGGTGTCCTTGAGGCCTGACCATCCACACTGGAAAAACGAAGTGGATGAAAAACGTATATCATACAGCAGGATGGACAGCCTGTCGAGTTAGTGGATCAATATGTATATCTTGGACAAGCATTGCAGATGGACAATGAGTTGGGCCCGGAATTGAGCAGGAGGAGGAGGTCGAGCTAGATTGCCTTCAGGAGCCTGTGTAGTGCTTTTGTTGATCTCAAACTTTCCACCACCGCAAAAGCCCATCTCTTTAACACCAGTAGCCTGCTGGTAATGCAGTATGGTTGTGAAATCTGGAACACCACATGTATAGAAGAATTAAAGATGCAAATCACCCAAAGAGCAATGGAAAGACGAATGGTGGGTTTAAACAGGCTACAGCATGTTACGATCGACGATTTGCGTGCAAGAAGTGGTGTCAACAATATCATCCAAGTTACGTGTGATCAGAAGAGGAGATGGGCTGGCCATGTAGCAAGACAGAAACAACAGACTGACAGTGCATTTACTCCATTGGATCCATGAGACGTAAAAAGAACAAGAAAAAGGCCTCCAGCACATTGGGTGAATCCTTTTATGGAAGATTTATGGAGCAACATGGATGAGAACCGCACAAAACAGGGGCGTGGAAAAGTTGCGATCTGCATCGGTTGAGGGACTATCCACATTGATGAAATCATGGATCTGCCAAGTATTCCAAGTTAAGACCTACTAAATCGAACGCTGAGGGTGCCTCTGTTCAGTGCCTGTACTCCTCGCAGTTGCAAGGAGTAAGGGAAGCCAATGGGAGCGTTTGCTCCTGTCGACCTTCCACTGTGAAGATGGTGCTAAACTTCGCAGTGGATTCATGAAGTTGGATAGCCATGAAAGTGGGCTGGGACCTTAATCCTTCCTGAGTGTCGCCAAGTTCACCCAGAATGCCCTACTGCTTAACTGGGAGCAAGCAAAGCAGGCAACACTCCTATCAACCAGCCTCCCAACTTACTGCAGGATTCCCGTGTACTCCTCCACAGTCCTGGGGTGCGCTCTCTGCCAGTTCTTTTTGTAGCCCATCACCAGGATGTTAGGTTTCATCTTCCCAAGGCCGGATGCCTGTGTTAAGAGGTTTTTTCAGTGTTAGCAGGACTCTCCGCAGGTTCCTGCCATACGCACGTGCATTTAGCTTATCCGAATGTCTCATCACATGCACAGAAACAATGAGCTGCTGAACAGCGCCCTCTCGGCCCAGTTCTGAGCAAGGAGTGGTGTGTAAACTGCATCATGCCAGGGAGGTCACCCCTCTGAATCTTAGCTCCTGCTCCCAGCTCCAGGGGGCTGGCGGTAATACGCCAATGGAATAGATCAATAGCAAGTGATCACATTGGCCAGGATTGTAGCCGCTTATTCCCCATTCACCTGTTCCAGGGCTGCAGTAAAAGAGAGCAAAGTCCAAGGCCTTTGAAGGGGAACTGGGAGAGTCCTCACACCCCTTCCTCCCTTGGGGTATGTCTACACTAGCTCATTAATTCGAGCTAGGTAGGCAAACAAGGCGACCGGAGTTGCAAATGAAGCCCGGGATTTAAATATCCTGGGCTTTATTTGCATGTTCCCGTCCGGTCGCCATTTTGAAATTTCACTAGCCCGAACTCACTGCCGCGTGGCTACATGCGGTGAAATGTTAATTCGAAATAAGTCCTTAGTTCAAATTAACGGTTACTCCTCGTGGAATGTTACTCCTCCTGTAGCCACACGGCAGAGAGTTCGGGCTAGTGAAATTTCAAAATGGCGACCGGACGGGAACATGCAAATAAAGCCCGGGATATTTAAATACCGGGCTTCATTTGCAACTCCGGTTGCCTCACTTGCCTACCTAGCTCGAATTAATGAGCTAGTGTAGACATACCCTTGGAGGGGCATGTGCACAATCCCTCCCTTACCAATTAACACTGGCCTCAGCAACACTGGACTGCTGCTCAGTGGAAAGGCTGAAGGCCCCTTATAAGCAGCATAAGTGAATTGTGTGACACAGGAGTCACTGCAGGGGACTGCGGCTCCTTCATGACTCGGTAGCCAATGTAGGACTGTACCTGCATAAGCATTTGGACTCCACTTCTCAGGTCATCAGCTACCACATCCGTATAGAAAGCTTTAATCTTTCTTTTGGTCAGCCACTTCATATGGCCATTGGAGGTGAGCCTGGATTCTGACATCTTCTGCTTGCACAGCCCCTGGGATTGAGTGGGAGGAAAGGTCGCAAGAGCAGTTTTAAAGCTCAGCCTCTTCGCAATGCACAAAGTACTTCAAGCCGGTGGTTTGAAGTTCATCCCCCATACGTTAATGTGCTTTATTTTGCACCAAGCAGCTCAATTTCCAACAGTCTCCTGAATCATATCTGAGATTAATCACTGGGTACGTGGGATGACAGAAGCACAGCCCGGCCAATGGTTCATTTAGCCCAGCATCCTGCCTTCTGGTAATGGCTGGTGCCAGGTGCTTCAGAGGGAATGTACTTCTGCCCAAATCTCCCTGATACCGATGAAGGACCTGGTAAAAATACAGGACCTGATAAAAACCGTGAGAGGCTTTCATGATTTAGTCTGGAATGCAGCTTCGTTGGCTGCTTTTAAAGATGGACTTTATGAACATAGACTCATATTCATGTATTGATCCATCTTTGAAAACCATAGCCTTAGTGGTTTGCCCAAGGTCATGCACAGCCAGAACTGACCACAGATCCCCATCTGCCAGTAATACAATGTACCGATTACGTTCTCATTGATCAGGCTCTGTGTGTGCAACTGTCAGTCTACTACACCTAAGGCAAAAATGCATACATCAACATCAGCCATCTGATCAGAAGGAACGGACTCCCAGGAACGGAATGTTATGCTATGATCAATGTCCCCTTTCAAAAACAATGGCTGATTTTCATCTGACAATGCTGTCACTGTATTGCTTAATTAACCCGCATATGGCTACTTCTGGGTCATTTAATAGTGCCTAAACGATTTTTTAAATCACAGCCAGAATCTGGCTTGTCTATTTACTTCTGCGTCTCCTATATGAAGACACCTGCCTTCTCTAGGAACGGGGACTGAAACACAATCTGCGATTGCAGAATGGACTTCCCACTATGGAATACCTCGTCAATCAAGGTCCCAAACCATCGTATCCCAGTGACACCTCTGCCATCCACCCCGCACCACCTGAACTAATCCATTGGATTACTGGTTTAGTTTATCATCATCAGGTTGGTATAATCTGTCAAAGAGACAGGTCTTTGTCTTATCCCTACGGTGTCCTGATTCTGGATTACTCTGATTTCCTTAGGAAGTCAAGAATAGTTTGTGTCCAGGTCTCATGCAATATGCCGACAGCTTGGCAAGCTGCACTGTGACAGAAGGGTGTGACATTGCTGGTTCATTTTGCCATGGTGGCAGAACTTTGCAGGTTAGCAGTGAACATGCTAGTGCCTCCAAAGTCACGGCACCAAATCCTGAAATTCTCACTCAGGGAAACTTAAATTGAACCAATTCCTTGGCCACTAATGAGGTTTGAACCCAGGACTTTATGAGCGGAAAACTAAGTCTCCACCACTTGAACTAAGCTTCTGCTCTGGAGGCCACAGCAGAGCTGTTGTCCTAGCTACCAGAGGGGAAACAAAGCCCCAGAGTTTGTGCTGGGTACATAAGGCCTGGAAGAGCAAGCCCCATGCGTTTAACAATATTGTTCTTCAGGGCCCTGCCTATTGGTCACCCAGCTCGCTCCTCTTATGCCTGTCAGAGCAGGCAGATGCCCAGATCAGGGTTGGTGCAGACCCCACCTTGCACTGCTGACAGTGTCTCCTATGGAGGTATCAGAGAGCAGAGGAACCACTAGTACTTACTATCAGCACGTTTCCACAAATCATCAAGCTGAGGTTTTTGGTGAACGTGCCCACAAAATCCACCAGGGCTGGGCGGAAGTTGGGGGGGCCTGTTAAGACCAGGCATTGGGGCCTACAGAGAAGAAGAAAAGACGGCTGGTAACTTAGGGTACGTCTACACAGATATTTTGAAATAGTGTCGAGATACTGTCAAGCTGGAGGACTTCTTACTCCGACTCCTGTAACCCTCATTGTACGAGGAGTAAGGGCAGTCCGAGGAAGAGTGCCCTGTTTTGAAATAAGTGCTGTGTAGACACCCCCAATTTCAAAATAGCTATGCAATTGACATAGCTCAATTTGCGCAGCTTATTTCGAGTTAAGCCCCGCTGTGTAGACATACCCTTAGAGTAAGTGGCTGCTGAGATCTTCTGTCAGGAATTTGATCACCGCCCCCCTGCCTGCTAATGGTGCCCACCCAACCAGAGCAGTATCTTTTGGATGGGACACAGAACTTTGCAGCTTGGATCAAAACTATCTGATCCACCAGGATGTACACAGCTGAGCTGGGGAACTCGGGCCAGCAGGCTTCCTTGCAAGAACTTCCTGTGTCTAGCTGGACTGAAAAGACCATGACAACTCTCCTCTTCTGTGCTTCTGGTCCTGGCTGCAACCCTGAGGTGCAGAGAGGAGCAGAAAATTAAACAAAGTTCCTCAAGCTCAGTAAAGTCTCGTTTGGGATTCAGTTGGCTAATTACACCTTGGAGGGGAACACAGGGGACCTATTCAAACATGAGTCCCTTCTGTGTTTGGAATGAGGGTCATACTGCCTGGCCAGTAACCTCCACACAGCACTGTCACTTGCCTGTAGTTCTTAATGTGCTCATTGACTTCATTGAGTCCCACGGAATAGTTCAGGGCCAAGTTGTACGAACCTGCCTGCACAGACGAGCCCCAGTTCACTTCTGGAGAGAACAATCATTTGGAACACAATAAATCATTTAAAAACCACAAACAGGAATCACTTCGATGCTGGGGACATGCCCAAACTGCTTTGCCCTGTAGGGTTGCTCCAGAGAGCCTGCCTGTACTTTGCGGAGTTGCTTGTGTGAAGCAAGTTGGAGGGTTTCGGTTCAGTGGCTATTGCATGCTCGTCTCATCATAGAAACCTCTCTCCCGACCAACTCCCTATGGGAGACCTAGCAGAGGCTCCAAGAGGTCCCATATGGGGCACGAGAGAGAGCATGGCAGAAGCTTACATTGATGCTGCCCTGTTCTGAGGCCAATAGGCCTCGACCTTCAGCTCTCTCAGCCCAGCCCCTTCTCTGCCTTCTGCTTGAGAGAAAGAAGCCCCAGTTACTCACCAGGCTTTTTGTAGAGCACGTAGCCCAGTAAGAAGACAACGATGCTGATGGCTATCAGAGCTGCCCACCAGGTCAACAGAAACATGATCACGACAGACACAACGGCACCGAAGAGCGCAGCCCACTTGCTGTAGTAACGAAACGATGGCCTCCATCCTGCAGGGCCATGACACAAAACTACATTAATGACTCACACAGCTAAGTTCGTCCCTCCCACGTGGGGAAGGAGTCGCTCAGCCTCGGAGCAGAGCCAGTGTGACGGGGCACGCTCTCCCCCTTAGAGCTTATCTGGCCTCCGTTACCATTGCAGCCTGCAATGTGTTGATCCTCACCACACCCCTGACAGGCAGAGCAGTTACGAGCATGCAGTATCCTCACTGTATAGATGGGGAAACTGAGATACAGAGAGGCTAAGTGGGTTGTCCAGGGTCAGGCAGGAAAGTATGTGGCAGAGCGGGGAACAGAACCCACATCGCCCTAGTCCCAGGCTAGTACCCAAATCAGTGGCTCACACTTTCTTTGTGACCCTGGGAGACAAAGCAGGGGTGGAGAGAGAACCTAACATCCCTCAGAGCAGGAGCTGACACCTGTACCCACCCTTCCCATCCAGAGAGGCTCTGTTTTCGGAACTGAAGATACTCCCCACCCCAATTGCTAGGGATCCTCCACATGCATCACCTTGTTCAGTTCAAAGAGCTTCTACTATGAAACCCTTGGGCTGGGACCCCCACCTTCCCCTGCTGTAGAGAGTGGTCCTCCAGCCTTGTCAAGCTCAGAGACACCTGACACTACCTCAAGCCAGCAGGACAGGGGTAGCCACCGAGCACCAGGGCAGCGATCGCTTACCTGGCGAGTTGGTGATGGAGGCATGGAAACAGCTGAAATTGATGAGTGCGTAGGAGCACAGGAAGAAGTTGGAGATGATTGGGGCAATCGTGTTCAGTTCAGCTGCAGGGAGGACAAAGAGAGGGAGGGCTCATTAGTGCATTTGCTCCACTCTGCCTGGGAGAAGGGGAGGGAGGTGAAAACCAAGAAGAAACTGAGAGTCCAGACCGATTGCTCCAGCTATCGGGGATTCCTAAGCTACCTGCCAATGTGATAGCTTCAGAGCCAGTCCATATGGGTTGGGCTTCCAGTCCTCTTTCCCGGAGTGTTTGTTCAAAAGGACTTTCCCCCTCAGACGAGAAGCCCGTGGGGAAGGGCTGGCCCCTTCCCGGCAGGTCAAACCCCAGTAGGAAGCAGCTGTGGCTTAGTGGTTTAACGCACTCCCCACATGGGTCTGGGACTGCCCTTTGGTGAGGCCAAGAAGGGCTGAAGGCCCCTCCCTCCCATTCCTACCAACCTTGCTTGTTTGCCACTTCCCTTCATCTCTCTCAGGGAGCAAGAGGAAAGCTCACTACAGCCCTGCCTTCCCCTCCCACCTGGCTGGTGGGGGCAGGGCAGAGGAGTGAGTGACCCATGCTGGGTGCTTTCCCCTCGCTCCCTGACAGTGATGGAAGGGGAACAGCAAGCAACAAGCAGGATCAATAGGAGTCCCCCCACCCTCCCTAAAGGGTGCCCTTGCCCCCCCTGCACTTCCCCCTCCCCTGAGCCCTCCTGTCCCCCGCCCAGATTCCTGCACCCTTCACCCCCCCATCCTCTGCCCTGAGCCCCTCTCACATCCCCAACCCTGACTCTTGCACCTCCCACCCCCTCCGCACCTGCCTGAGCCCCACCCCATACCCACACATACTCTAAACCTCTGCCCTGAGCCCCTCTCACATCCCCAACCCTGACTCTTGCACCTCCCACCCCCTCAGCACCTGCCTGAGCCCCACCCCATACCCACACATACTCTAAACCTCTGCCCTGAGCCCCCTGCACTCCATCCCACACTTAATTTTCTTACAGGGGCTGTTATATGACAAACCCCAAGCCTCCTACCCTCAGCCCCCTCTCCCCCTGGGGGTTAATGCAACAGTACCTGTAAGGCCAGGTCTAGACTAGGGCAGAAGTTCAGAGTAAGATATGCAACTCCAGCTATGGTATTGTGTAGCTGGAGTCACCGAACCTTGATTCAAACTTTGGCGCTGTGGCCACAGCAGGAGGTTGATGGGAGAAACGCTCCCATTGGCTTCCCTTACTCCTTGTGAGCAGTGAGGGTACCGGCCTCGACAGGGCGCCCTCAGTGTTCGATTTAGTAGGTTTGATTTAGACCTGCTAAATTGAATGCCAGAAGATCAACCTCAGGAGCGTCGATCTGCAGGTAAGTACAGACATGGCCTAGGAAATTCAAGTTCACTCTGCTCCCAACTGAGCTCTCTACTCCTGGGAGGGAATTAGGTTCAGTGCTATTTTGGTTGTTCAGGTTTCTAAGCCCTCAAAATTGTCTTGAAGCGCTACTGACACAGCTCTCTCTCCAGATCTGATATATTCCTCATCTGCATGGAACAGGCTGTGGGCCTGATCTCCCCTCACCTGTGTGTAGATATGGAGTAACTATTCCAGACAACCCACGCAGTGGAAAACAGGTGTATGTCAGAGCTCTCACAATCTACCTTGAGTGCACCTTTTGACAGAGGGCAATTGTATCTTTTGGCGATGTGTATGTAGAAAACTTATGGCCATTGTTCAGCTCACGACTGAAACAGCCACCGGGCACCACACTGCTCATTAATCAGCCTGTCGAAAAAAGAAGAGAAAGCTTCCTACTGGATCTGGCAGCCTATTAAACCCAAGGCACATACCGATCAGAATGAACCCCACAGCTAAGCCAATCAGTGGGTACAGCTGGTCCTTGCACAGGCACTGTGGAGAGAAATACACGTCACTTCTCCTGGACAGGCATTGCAGACTAGTGGTGAGATCAAAACTGGGAAACAATTGAATGAGGGTTCAGCTCCAAGCACTGCTACTGGTGCAGTGCATAGCCTTGTTCTTGAGTAGATTTACTCCAGATTTACAACAGAGTGAGAACAATTTAGTCCTCACCCTAGAGGGTGGATGTATTTCTAAAACCAGTTTGCCTGTTCCTGCTGTCAGGTCACCTTCGCTTTGTCACAAACCAGTTCTACAAGCCAGATCCACAGATGAATTAGAGTTCATCCACAAATTCAATTCACATGCTAACGGACTCAATCATGATGAAAGTTGGTTGGGACACGACCAACTTAACAGACGTTGAAGGTGCAAACAGCTCTTTGTGTGGACTCCCATGTCAGGCAGGATACTATCAATTGACTTTGATTCTTATCTGCTTCGTTTTAACTGCCAATCTTCAGATACTTACTGATTCCCTCTAGCTCTCTCTCTCCCACTCCCCTCCTTTTTTCCCTCCCCCCTCCCTTTCCCCTCTCCTATTTATTTTGGGTGTGCACATCCTAAACACATAACTCCGGTCATCTGAAGAAGGGGGCTGTGCCCATGAAAGCTCATGATCCCATCTACATGGTTTGTTAGTCTATAAAGTGCTACCAGACCATTTGTTGTTTTTTTCTGTAACAGACTAACTCAGCTACCCCCTGAAGCAGGTAATAAACTTGACTTTCCTCCCAGTACCAATGGTAACACCCCTCGTACAGCTGTATTCTGCTGTCACCACTGATGGCACTATGGGAGGGGCGGGAAATGTCACCTTTATTATTTTACTCAAATAACCACATTGGGTCTCAGTTACACTCTCGCAAGCCCGCTGAGATGAAGGACTCTGCCTGGGAGCAACTGAGGACAGAATCTGTCCATCAGGATTACACAAGTCAGAGCAAAGCCAAAGGGACTAGCCCAGTGCATATCCCCCCGCAGCACTGCATGATGGGATCAGATGGGGCAAAGCTCCAGGCAAACACCACAGAAGCGTCACAAGTATCAGATTAAAGAACATGTCCAGAGAGCCAGTACTTTCTAGTCATGCATGGTGGGGCCTACCCGTGGTGGCTGTTCGGCTTGTGGTGGATCTCCCCATGCCTGCGTGGGGTGGAGACTCTGCCTGTCATGGGGGCTCTGAAATCCCTGCGACATGCTAGCTGGCTCTGGACTCGTATCTACCGGACACACAAAGACAACACTGCAGATTTTTCCCAGTCCCCTGAGCATGGCACCTTCTCACCTGGAAGACTTTGGGTGCTGAGACCAGGCAGGCCAGAGCTGAGGAGAGGGTGGCCCCAAAGATTCCAGCCGTGATCAGCGGGGCAAATCCGGACACCAGGCTCATACTCTACATCAAAACCAGCAGGAGAAAGGTGAAGGTGATGCTGAAGAGACCTGACAGCCCGTGCTCCTTCCACCAGAAGCCTGCGATGCTCACAGCCACCACTCAGTGCTCCTCAGAGCACAGCTCATTACATCCAAAGAACCTTACTATGACTGCAAAGTCCAGCATTCAAAATGCCAGTGTTTGAGCTGTCCGTGCAAGCTAAACACAGCCCTCCCATGCATATCCATGATCATACGCTCTTCGATTACATGGCCAAACGCTGTTTGCCCACAACTTGTTCACAGGATGCTCTGGAATGACTCAGGGCTGTGCAGTGAAGGAGTCTGTTATCTGTATGACCCCTTTTTCGGTGATTGTAAATTACATTTTAAAAAGAAAGGAAGCAGCAATTCAGGAAAGTGCCCGATCACCCTCAGAGGCTACTGTCTGCTCTGGGCTATGACTAATATTTCTGCCAGGAGGGGAGCTCGATCTGAGGCTGGCAGGCGTGGGAGATGACAACAACCCACCATGAACAATATAGGATTTCCTGTATGCCACGCCGAAGTGAGCAACCCAGTTTGAGTCTTCTCCCTGCCTCAGGGAGTGACAGTACCTGGTAATAATTGCTGAGTCCATAGTGGCAGCTCTGCTTCTGGGCACACTCCGTGAAGTTCCACCCATAGCTGCAGGCAAGTCCTTCACAGCCCAGAGAACCAATAGGAATGGAGTCATTCAAGTTCCCGGAGGCATCGCGTACCACGCAGGCACCTGGAAGGGAGCAGTTCCCATTCACTACCCATCTCTCTCTCTTTTTCACGTGGTGCATGATGCCCAGATGGGCTTTAACAAATGTTCCTGTGTAACCAGGCAGCTTTCAACCTGATATTTGCATCAAGAGTTTGGATTTCTTGCCATGCTGGGCAGTCTGCAAAGGAATCAGGGGTCTCCAGTCTCCAGTGTGCCAACCAAGATGGTGGCCCCCTCGTTTTGCCCAGAGTCCCAGGTTTCTAGGTGCTCCTGGAATTAACAGGTACTAAGCCTTGTTTTTAAGTAACCTTCCACTGTAGCAGACGTGTCCATGCTGCATAGGCACCTACCCAGTGCTAGCTAAAACTCTCAACATCTTGTACCAGACAATGCATCCCAGGCCCAGTGTCAAACCGGGGTTGGATTCTTTGGAGACAACTGTATTGCCAACCCCAAGAGGTCCAAAATCCTGAGTCAGATCTCAAAAAATCATGAGATCTTTTTTAAAACTATGATTTTATTGGTCTGTCTTTTTACTATTTACTTCCCCTCTACCCTGCACCCCTCCTAGCAGCCAGGATCAGAATGGATACTGGAGCCAGACTGACTCAAGGTGGCCTGTGTCCCAGGATTCCTTATCACTGGGAGTTGCCCTTTCCCTAATGAGCATGAAAGCATTTAATTAATCAGGGACATGTCATCGTTTGATTCAGTCTATCCATGTTGCTTACCAATTGTAGCAGAAATAGCCAGATAGGATACCGTAGTCCAGAATATAGCCATCAGTGTGCCTTTGGGAATGGCGACTGCTGGATCCTAGGGAAGGGAACCACAGAGTTACACAGCAGCTTTTCATGGGCACCGTCAAATGACCTTTCCTTTTTGTAGCTAAAAGAAGAGAAAACTCTCCTAGGCTCAAAACCACCGGGCAGCTTTCAGTCTGATATTTGCATCCAGAGTCTGGATTTCTTACCATGCGGGCAGCCTGCAAAGCCCACCTTTTTGTGCTAGATGTTTGGAGATGAAGTGGGACTGATGGGCTGGTGCACTGGAAATCTCAGAGAACATGGTACTAAATGTTGTTTTACTCTACTTGAAGTGACGGTGGCTGAGAATATTGAATGCACTGGCCTGGTCTGGGAAGAAGTATCACGAGTAGCGAGTGACTCTGATCAGTAAAAGAGCCTGGAATGCCCAATGGTACAGGAGGAACTAAGGTTTAAAATGAGGAAAGGGTTAGGGTATGAGATAAAAGCCATAAAATCAACTGCACAGGTGAAGTTTGTCCAGCCTGACGTAAGGATCAAAGGCTCCTGAAATGGCGCTAAACTTCAACTTTATATACATACTAAAGCTTTACCCAGCATCGCTCAGGTCCTTAACTCAATTAATTTGGGGGGATTTATTTGGAAATTGTGTTTTTTGGAAAATAAAATGAAAACGTGCCTGCTCATTGAAATCATTGCTCTGGGGCGGGGCTGGGGTTCAGTCTGCAGGCTGCCCTGGAGAGAGAGGACAACCCAGCCCTCTGACCACAGCAGCCTGTGGCCAGGTGAGAAGTGTCTCTCCGTGGCTGCTGCAGCTCCAGCAGGCACAGCCAGGGCAGGGGTGCATGTCCTCCAGCTGGAACAGATCCAGTTTTATCTGCCCCCGGCATTCCCCAGCCAGAGTGAGGAACGCAGCAAACTGTGTACTTTCCCCGCACTCCCTGCCATAGGGGAACAGCCAGCAGTGCCCCTGTATGACTTGGGGGGAGCTACAGCCCCACTCCCTAAAGGGCACCTGGCGGTGGGTGGCTTGGGGCTGGAGCAGTCTCAGGGGGGCACACCCTCGGCCAGTCCCCTTTCACCTGCCTGCTGAGTCTCTCTTTTCTGCATGGTTTTCGGAGAAGCAATCCCATTCCGGGCACATCCCATTTTCCTGGCTTGGAAAATAAAATGAAAACGTGCCTGCTCATTGAAATCATTGCTCTGGGGCGGGGCTGGGGTTCAGTCTGCAGGCTGCCCTGGAGAGAGAGGACAACCCAGCCCTCTGACCACAGCAGCCTGTGGCCAGGTGAGAAGTGTCTCTCCGTGGCTGCTGCAGCTCCAGCAGGCACAGCCAGGGCAGGGGTGCATGTCCTCCAGCTGGAACAGATCCAGTTTTATCTGCCCCCGGCATTCCCCAGCCAGAGTGAGGAACGCAGCAAACTGTGTACTTTCCCCGCACTCCCTGCCATAGGGGAACAGCCAGCAGTGCCCCTGTATGACTTGGGGGGAGCTACAGCCCCACTCCCTAAAGGGCACCTGGCGGTGGGTGGCTTGGGGCTGGAGCAGTCTCAGGGGGGCACACCCTCGGCCAGTCCCCTTTCACCTGCCTGCTGAGTCTCTCTTTTCTGCATGGTTTTCGGAGAAGCAATCCCATTCCGGGCACATCCCATTTTCCTGGCACAACCAAACCCTGGCCTTGCTTTACGTTATAATAAGAGGAAGCTGCATAGCAAATGTGGTGGCCCTAGCTCTTACTGTTCAGACACACGGACAGGCTCTCTCAAATATACAGCAGGTCATTACAAGGGAAGTTTGGGAGCTGAGCTATGAAGACTCCTGTATGTTTGTCTATAGTTTTAGGCCCATACATGGGGGGAGTGCAAAGGGTGTGAATGCACACCTCCCCTTTTCCCCCAGGTCTTCGTGGTCCGCTATGGGGCCGATTCCAGCTGGCCGGAAGAAAGCAGGGGCAGCGTGTAGACCCGGCCTACCTCCCCTCCGCCCCCGTGCTGCCAGCCAGCTGAGGGAAGGCTGGGGCTGATTCTGCCTTTCTCCCACGGGAGTGAGGCTGGGATCACGGCTGGGGGCCCTCCCAGAGCTCACCCCCCCCCCAAATTCCTGCATACGGACTTGAGTTAGTCGCTCATGCCTTTAAAGGCAGCTCCTCTTTAAGAAGGACTGTGATTCCACGTATCATGCATCCCAAGCGCTTGGATCCAACCCTGTTCAGAACTTCGGAGTGTTCCGAATGCCGGTCCAAATCAACACTGGGCCCATCTAGAACTGATTCAGTTTGGAGGTTTAGCCAAACTATTTGATATTTGTTTGGGATGTAAAACGAGCTGGGACTCTCCTGAGCCTGTGCTTTTTAGGGGGGATTTCCGATCAGACTAATCTGCAGCTAGCTCAACACTTCTGCAAGAACAGTCCTCCTATTATTTTGGCGCTCATGCCCCAGGCAGAAAGGGGAGAGACCTGTGTAAATGTCTTCATTTTATCAGACTTTTTCTAACTTCAAAAATAGTTCAGTTTATTGAATAGGCAAAGGTTGATCAAAATCTGTTCATTCCTCTGCAATAATGTAGGATGCCCAGTATTAATTCTGTTCCATTCTATTTAGAGTCTTGTAGTGCATCTATCACTGTGCAACCTAATGCTTAAATCCTGCAAGAGCCTTTGGGAATTGGACTCCTGAGCTAATGCCATTGGGTGATGGAGACCACCCAGACAGAGCAGCTTGCAGGATCAGAATCTAAGAGTAGTGAAAGTTGGAAATGCAGTAAAAAAATTCATGAACATTTTTTGGAATCGTGTTAAAATTTTAAAAAATGTCAGTTAGTTCTGTTGCTGGTCAAAACTGAATAAAACATTTGTCTGAGGCTTTTAAAATTGTTTTACTGTTCTTTCTAAATCTGGATACATTTTATTGAAAGTAAAAATATCTGGGCAGCTCTAAAACAGAGATAGATCAAACATTTTTCAATTAACCTAGAACCTGGATCCAAACTGTGCCAGATCTTGGATTTACAAAATCAAAAGCCAATCAAGGAAGTTGCCAACTTGGGAGTTTGCCTTTTTCTGACACACAGCGCTTTATCAGCACAACCTGCTCATAGAGTACAGCCTGGGCCGCGTGCCCTTGTGATTCCAAGTGGGCCAGGAGAAGTAAAAACATACCTTCAAATCACCTGAAATGTTGGCTCCAGCCAAGATGCCTGTTGCTGATGGAAAGAAAATGGAAAACAAACCAAAGAAGGTGCCATCGGGTCCACGCCAATTTGGCACAAAGTTCTGAGCAAAAATATCCGCTAGAGGAGGAAAATATTTTCCTGTCAATTCGAATGTACAGGATCATTTCAATCACATTTCTTTCATTTTAAAGGCAATAGTTGAAACCGTAGCCACAGCAGCAAGCTGCTATTGAAATGCAACCTCGCGACGTTTGGTAGTCATTTACACTAGCATCGCCCGTCCCGTTGTGACGGTGGACGCACGCTCAGGTTGGCCCGGTGTGGGGGACAAAAGCCGACCTGGCTGCCATCTTGCCCGTAAAGGACACACAGCTGCCATGGCCATTTCCCCACTGTGGGAGAGCGCTGTGGGCTGGTGGAGTCCATCATCCAGGACTCCTGCCCAGCCTGCCCGGACCCCGCCCCCCCCCCCTTGCTCCTGGATTTCACACTCAGCTCACGGGCTGCTAACGTATTCCCTGCTTGGAGCAGCATCTGGCTGCCACGTGGGGGTGACTGTTTCAATACATAACCCTGTTACAGACACTGGAGCCGGGGTCTCTGCTCTGCAGGCAGAGCTCTGCCCTAGTGGGATCAGCCGGGGAGGAGGGAGAGTCTGGGCTGCTCTCCTGTCCCTTGAGGCCTGGTCAGGGAACAGGGCAAACCTGAGCCAGCATTGTCCCCAGCTGCAGGGGAAGATGTGGAGGGGGGCAGGAACAAGGAGCAGCAAGGTGGGCCATGGGCCAGATCAAACAGCCAGATCCAGTCTGCAGGCTGTATCTTGCCCACCCCTGCTCTAGGCAGGGCTGGATTAAGGGGGGGAGGGCTAGCCGTGCAGCTTCCCAGGGTGCCAACCTATGGGGGGCACCTGATAGCAGCTGTAAGGGGCACTATTCGCCCCTTAGAGCTGCCATCAGGTACCACGCACCCGATTACAGCTGTAAGGAGCACAGCGTGCCGGGGGGGCGGAGCCACGTATGCGCCCTGCACCCATGGGCGGAGCCACACATGCATCGCACACCCGCTGCCCAGGGCGCAGGAATGGCTCAAGCCAGCCCTGGTTCTAGGGTCACTGCTAAAGCATTCACCTCTGTGTAGGCCCCCCTCCAGCATCTTGCAAACATTCAGCAGAACAATCGAAGTGTCATTGTCTCTCTGGAAGCCTTTCCACTGCCAAACTTACTCAGAATAAGCAGAGCAGCAGGGATGCTTAACATGAAGGGCTATGTTCCAGCCCCGAACAAGATACATTTCCATTGCACGCTGCCTACCGGCCAGGACACGGAGAGTTAAGTGACCACGTGGACACGTTCATTAAGGTACATTGTTTATAACCCCTAATCGTGCTGGCACAGTAAAACCACGCTGATCAAAAGCCTTGCAAGTCACATAGAATTGACCAGGCAGAGCAGAGATTATGGTGAGATCTCAGAGCGTCAAGGCTCCCTCCTGCGGTACGTGCACTGAGGAACATTTCCCAGTGCACTGTTGTAATTAAGAATCCCGTGGAATAAAAAACCCGGAGGCAACCCTGGCTGTGGGTTTGTTCCCATTCTACCCTCATCATTAGAGACAAAGTAAACAAACACACTGGAAATGCATCCGAGGGGGGCTAGTGCACGTCTGGCCCCCATCACTTGAGCACACAAATGCCTCACAATCTTTTAATATATTTATCCTCACAACCCTTCTGTGAAGGAGGGAAGTTCTATGATCCCCATTGTACAGGCAGATAACTGAGGCACAGAGACTGCTGCCTCAGTCACACTGAGGAAGTCTGCTGCTGAGCAAGGAATTGAACCAGGCTGTCCCAGTTCCTCCCTAATCACTGGGTTATCCTTCCTCTTCCATCAGGGGACGCGCTTGTCTTCCTTTTTTCACTGTTTGCTGACTTGCAAACCTCAGTCATTCATGCTGGGTCTCCCGACCATTCATGAGAATTGGTAAGAGTTCCCCCAAGCAGCTGCCTCTAGCCTCCACTGGAACCTACCTCGGTAACTGAAGAATCCTTTTGCCTGCTTCTCCTCAGAGGCTGGCATCACCGTCCCCACTACGTAATTTATGAAGGAAATCATGATGACTATGAAGAACAGCACCTGTGCCTGAGAGAGCAAAAGAACCAACTCAACAATCTGCTGGCTGAGTACTTGCTGCAAACGCTGTACAAGGGCGTGTGGTGAAACATACAGGTGGGCAGCTCTACTTAAGTTTCACCATCTTCCAACTGGAAAGCTGCCAACAGGCTCTCCTGAAGGAACATTCTGCCGTTTTGACTAGTGGGGCAGAGTAAGTAACCTCTGCATTCTTTGAGAAGTGCCCAGCACCATCTGCTGTGCTTGTTTCTCTCTAGGTTTCCTTGGCCTGAAGGCTTTTGTGGCTTGTTAAAGGAGAGAAACAGAACCCCCAGCATCTGAATGAATGAACAAGACAAAGGGCAACACTAAGGCAAACACACGGATAAGGTTTAAGGGAGATTTGGCTAGTGTATGAATGAGAGCAGTGTCTGCAGTTTCAACAGTCCAAAGAAAAGCAGATGTTAACTGACAATGCTTATACTTCTGGGCAGTGACTGATCATCAGGGTGGGTCAGGAAGAATTTCCCCTGATGGTAAGAAACTTGCAGTTAGGTGCATTATTGGAGGGTGAAGCAACTGGCATTGGCTGTTGTTGGAGAGAAGATACTAGGCTAGATGGACTGGACTATTGGTGCGTGGTGGTGTGGAAATTCTTGGGTTCATCCTAGCAATTCAGACCCTTACCTTTGCTTCCCATTCCATTCCAGCCAAGGAAATCCCAAGTAGCACTGTCACTGTGATGACCCCGATGATGCGGATATCATTTGTGGGATCTACAATGGGCGAGTTACTTTCCTGAGAAAAGAAGCCCAAGTCAGCAGTCTGCAGTTCTAGAAGCTGACGGCAGACTTGATCTGACCCACCCGATTCCTGCATTTCACCTCTGACTCTCTGGGCTTTTTAATACTACTTCTTATTAAAATAAAAAAATCATCATTCTTTTATAGCAACATTCAACAAGTGGCGTCCGTTCAGAAGGGGGCACCTTACACTGGGTGGAATTTTTGTGTACAACAGACACCCTGTGGGAGCATGGCAGAAGTTGGCCTTTGATTTTTGTGTACATGCTGTGGGAGCATGGCAGAAGTTGGCCTTTAAGAAGGACTTCAGTGTTACAGGATAGAGGTGCTTGTGGGTGGAATGAGGGGGGATCACACCACGAAACGACTCTGAGTCCTTACCTGGAGCAGGTCACGTACAGTTTCCGCAAAGCCCACCGTATGCATGGCCACTGCTACTGCATTTGCAAAGGCAAATATGAGACCGATGGAGCCACCCAGTTCTGGACCGAGACTTCTTGAGATGAGGAAATACGTGCCACCTGACATAAGCCAGAAACATTCCACTGTTTGAATACTTCACATGCAGGAGCAGCATTGTGGTACCAGAGGGCTACGTCTGCACTGGCATGATTTTCTGGAAATGCTTTAACGGAAAAGTTTTCCGTTAAAAGCATTTTTGGAAAAGCACGTCTAGATTGGCAGGACGCTTTTCCGCAAAAGCACATTTGTGGAAAAGCGTCCGTGGCCAATCTAGATGCACTTTTCCTCAAAAAAGCCCCGATTGCCATTTTCGCGATCGGGACTTTTTTGCAGAAAACAAATCTCTGCTGTCTACACTGGCCCTTTTGCACAAAAGTTTTTCGGAAAAAGACTTTTGCCCCAACGGGAGCAGCATAGTATTTCCGCAAAAGCACTGACAATCTTACATGAGATCGTCAGTGCTTTTGCGGAAATTCAAGTGGCCAGTGTAGACAGCTGACAAGTTTTTCCACAAAAGCAGATGATTTTGCGGAAAAACTTGCCAGTCTAGACACAGCCGAGGTGACCACACGCTGAACCACGGGCCCTTAACAAAGTAATTACAGACGCCTACCTATAGCCATGCACTGTGTGCGGGAAGTGTCAATGACACATGGAGACAGGATAAGATGCTCAACATTTTACAAGGTAATTTATCAGGGTCTGGCCATCAGGGAATTCAGGGAAGTCTGGATCTGGGGTTTTGGCTCAGGCCCATCTCTCGTGAAAAGCCTTCCTTTTGTGCTCATACAGAGTCACTGCCTGGGAGAAGGAAGCGTTTGAAGGGAGACTGGGACCATGACTTAGAACTAGACAAGAGCAAACTTGCGAGAAGCTGGCATGAGGGAGCGAGGCGCGGCTAAGACAAAGACAAGCTGAGCTGTTATTTAACATGTCAGAGATTTCATGTGTCAGAGTTACCAGGACAATGTTACCCTCTTGATTATAGACTCCACTGTCCTTGCTGAGCCGCTCTCTCTCCTTCCAGAGCGGGTACAGAAGCAGAATAGATTGGAGGAGGTAGCTTGAGGAGATGGTGGCCCAGGACCCTGGGCCTGGGGAATCCTGGGGGGCCAGGGCCTCATGAGGAGCCGCCTCCCCTCCAGTCAGGGGCTGATCACCTCTGTCATCGCTTTTCCCCCATCTCCAAAGACTGGCCCTGAGAGGGACTGCCCGGGACCTGCCCCACTGGGGATAACAGGACTGACTAAGACCTCTACTCTTCACCTCCAGTGAGAGACCAAAACCAGCTGAGAGAGACCAGAGCCAACCAGGACCTCTCCCCTCCTGCCTCCGTTCCCAGCTCCCTGCTTCCCGGGCTCCGCTCTCCACACGCTGCCTGCAGAAGGACAGCTGGTGACTTGGTAAGGACCTACATGTACTGCGTGGAAATGCAATGGGGTGGGGAGGGGGGGACACACCTCGTGCACCTTTTGGGATATGGCTTCTATTACTTTGCAAAGAGTAATTCTGGTTGCACCGCTCACGGAACCCAGGGATTCCTGAATCAAGCCCAATGACTTGTGGTTGAGCTACTGCATTTCCCATCAATCAAACCTGGGTGCCCTTCTAAAAATTCTGAGGGATCGAGAACCCGCCCCTTCACTTGATGAGCTGCTCTGATGGCCACTCATCATCATTCCTCAGCAGTGGCCTCTTCTTTCCAGCTTGAGTTTTGCTGACTAGTCACCTTCCTGACCTGGGTGGTTGGTTTTCGTTTGCCCGTTAGACTGAAGAGCAGATTATCCTCTCCCCTGTAATTACCCATAGGCCATGATTAAATCACCCCGTAGCCTTGTCTTGGGCAAGCTAACTAGATGGAGCTCCTTACGTCTCTCATTCCAAGGCAAGGTTTGCAGCTCACAAGCGAATTCTTGAAACTCTTCTCTGAACCTTCCCCAATGTTTTAACATCCTTTTGGAAGTTTGGACACCAAAACTGGACACTGTGTTCCAGCTCTGATGGGTTCAGAGGTGATGCCTGGCCTTGCTTGCCATCCTGTTACTTTCAGGTACTTTGCTCATCATCATACTCGTGATCTTTTGGCAAGCCGAGCCTCCAAACTTTCTTGAGATGCATCAAGCACTATCTAGGGAACAGTCCTGTGCTGAGCAGAGACGACGGGCTACCACATGGCCTAAGAGGCCTTTTTCAGCTTTCTTTTTCATGGCACTTGCCAAAGACAGAGCAAAGCTTCGTATGTAAAGTCCCAGAATGTGAGGGACTTGGGGGGGAGCTGAAGACGGTAACCCACAGAAGGCAAACGGGAGCCAAGTGCTACCTGATTTCACTTTGCCGTTGGTGGAGATGGCAGAGATTGACAAGCCTGTGATGCTCGTTACTGTCACAGACATGAAGATAATCAGCCACGTGAGTGCTGCAGAGAAGAGGAATAAGTTTCATTTTGTTTGAAGAAAGCCAAACCAACCACCATCCCTGCCCCACCCTCTCCTCAACCCACTTCTTCCAGGATGTCTCCCCAGTCTCCCTCCTGCTTCTGCCTCTGCCTCCATCCTTACTCCATCGTCTCTATTGCTGTCCCATGGACACGTTTAAAGGTCTGAGGTGTTGCTGAGCTACGTGTTGCAAAGCCTGACCGATTCAGGAGTCTACAACTGATTTTCAAAAGAGATGTAGGCACTTAGGAGCTAAAATCCCCAAATCAACAGGCTTTGGGCTCCTAAGTGCCTAAATAACTTTAGAAACTTATATTTGGGCTCCTAAATCAGTTAGGCATTGCAATGGAAGCACGGTGACTCCTGAACACCATTCAAAAGTAGGTCTAAGGACCTCCAGGAAGGGAGAGACTTTGCGGCGTGTATAGTGCCAAGCACCCTGTCAGTGCCTGCAGTTTCACAAGTGATATCACATACAATTGCTGCTAGTAAAACTATAGAGAATAGAGATGCGCCTACCAATTCCTGCCTGGGCAGTGATCCAGGGCAATCGCAAATAGAGAATCACACCCCAGATGTTCAACATGCAACGAATCTAGAAGGAAAACAGCCGCGTTAATCCCATCTGCAGAGCTAGCAGTACGCGTGATTGGAGGAACGGCAGCATTGCCTGCTCAGACCTATGGTTCCTTGAGTCCGGGATCCTATCTGCAGCCATGGCCAATTCTCGCGATCCTTGAAGTGGAGTGACCTGCCCACGGGAGAGTTTCCTCCTAAGCTCATGCCACACAGCTGAGCCGTGCCGAGTCCGTGGCCAAGCGCTCAGACAGGAAACAAGGGGTGTGTCTCTAACAGCGACGGTCGTGCATCATTGGAGCACTTCTGAGGGGGCATGGTGGGTTTTCTAAAAGATCTGCTCAAAGGAGGATTCCACAGAAGAGCTGTGGCTTGTGCTAGCCAGCAGGGCAGACGATAAGAGCACAGTGGTCCCACCTGACCTTGAAATGTGTGAACCTGAGATGGGTGGACATGTACTCAGCATACCTCATCTGCGCCTTCAGTGCCGCCACCACACATGCTACCACAGCTACACTGCTATCTATATTCACGCTGGCTTGAGAAGACCTTGCACATGTACATGTACGCAAGCAGGGGAATCACACCCTTTGCTTGGGGTGCAGCAGTAGCCAAGGTGACTTCCCCAAGCTCACACACTCTGTAGGGGAGCAGAGGATTCAATCTGAGTCTCCCAGGGAGGAGGCTAATGCCTTGAGTCCCTCCTCTCTACACCTTGGTATGCTGATACCTTGTGGCAGTGAGTTCCACAGGGCCATAGTGCAGTCTGTGTAAAAATATAAAAGCTTTTCTTTTTATTATCATTTTAATATGTCTCTTTTTCATTTCATTGACTTTCCCTTTTGTTCTTGTATTATTAGAGAGGGTTAATAGAAATGTCTGAAATACCATCTCTAGACCATTCACTGGTATGTGTACTTTTATTATACTCCTCTGATCTGTCTTATCTCCAGGAGAACAGACCAAATCTTTTCAATCTTCCTATTGAAGCCTATTTATTCCCCTAATTATTTCATCACTGGTTTCTGACACTTCCCCCTCCCCTTCTGTCATGCACTTTCTGAAATAGGATGACCAGAATGGAACAGACTATTCTAGATGAGGGCATCTGATTGACAGCTATGGAAATAGTCTCAGTAGGATTTCTCCTCCCATTCCTCACCTAGCCATTTGCTTGGTCATTTTTACTGCACCTCCCTAAGTTTATTGCAAAAATCCCTTCTCTTTATAAGTGGATGCAGCAGGCTGGAACCTGGTAGTGTGCACAAATTGTGCAAATGTTCCCTTCAAATCCATCTTCCTCTTGCCCTATTACCATAGTCCTAGAGCACCTCACAATCTTTAATGTGCTTGCACTCACAGCAAGGAAAAGTGCTATTCTCGCCATCAGAGAGGTGAGAAACCGAGGCAAATCATTCTGTGCAACACACCGAATACCTGCAGCAGAATACAAAACTGAGCCGGGCTGCTAACGTCCTAGACCCATGCCCTACCCCCGGGCCCATCCCCCTGGCCTACCAACATCACCTGCCATTTGTCCAGTTTGAATGTCCCCAGCCCTCACACTGCTCAGTAGAATGGGTCGCCCCAGACCTGTGAGAACCGGGATTGCATAGGTGAGTCTTGCTGAGCCGTGCTAAGGCAGACACATTGGACCCCAGGAGGAGAAATGCGCGGTGCTGACTTTCAAGCCCAAGCCCTGCCCTGGGGATAGCGCCGCTGGAGTCAATGGGATGACTTGAAGAGTGAGCTGCAGCTTGGTGAGAGCGATGGTGGCAGGAGCTGGCCATCTTGCTGCTGCGTAGGCCTGGGCGCTCCTGGCAAGCTCTCCCAGTACACTTCCTTCCAGTTTGTCGGCAGAAAAAGCAACTTACCATCACCCCTTTCACCCATCCGAATCGGACAGGCTCTCCTGGAGGCTTTGCCCCACCCTCGCCACCGTCTTCCTCAGTTGCTTCATCACTCAGGCCGCTACTTCTCTGGGGCTCGTACGCTGGGTCGTGGAGACGGCCACTGTCCAACTGAGGGATGCAGAGAGAAATCAAGTCACTACAGGGCATAGAGGTGGCACAGCAAGGAAGAAGTCTGGGAACATAGTAGATCTTGTCAATTTTCAACTCCCAATCAGAACTGTGTAACCCTGAACATCACTTCTGGAGCTAAGCAGGGCTGTTGGGTTCACAAGGTTTGTTGGGGCAGGAATAGTCTCTCAGCAGCGAGCACAAGGGAACCCCAGCTTCAGCTCACACCACTGCTCTACAAAGAATGACACCCACAAGCAGAGATGCACTCCTGGCTTCTTCAAATACCGTCAGCCACAGCTTGCAACTAGCAATGGTACCCAGATTGTACCCAGCACTTCTCCTTACTACAGCCGCAGTAGCAGAGCTGGGAAGTGGAAACCTGGTTTTTTTCCCCCCCATTAGTTATATATATGGAACTATGAATGAGAATTTTCACAAGCTGTCTGTCTTAACTGCCATGGCCCCCACCACTATAGGATCTGGGCACCTCACAGTCTTGAACGCATTTATCTTTGCACAATCCTGGGCGGCCAAGACGTGCTGGAGAAGCTGATAACACATCCTGGCTTCTTGGACCTCATTGCAGGAGGAGTAACAGTTAATCCAAACTAAGGACTTAGTTCGCTTTAACTTCTGACTGCCGTGTGTAGCCGCGAGCAGTCAGTTTGAACTAAGGGGATTTAAAAATGGCGCCCGCCCGGGAACATGCAAATGAAGCCTGGGATATTTAAATCCTGGGCTTCATTTGCAAGTTCAAATGCCTCCATTAGCTACCCTAGTTCGAACTAGGGGGCTAGTGTAGACATACCCCAAGTGATTTCAGTGGGATTTGGGTGCCTGGGTGCTTTTGAAACCCTCCATAAGCATCTCTAGGTGTGAAATACTTTAAAAAACCAATCCCTGGGTAAAGGTGGCAGGACACATGGGAAAACCACTGAGATCAGAGGGTGCTTCACAAGGCAGTCTCATCCATGGTATAAGGACAACCACCGGCGGCCCATGAGCCTAGGCAAGCTAGGCAGCTGCCTAGGGCGCCGCTGGCCCGGGCGCCCAATGATGACATCACGGGGCGCCAGGGTGCCTCGTGATGATGTCACGGCCATTGATGGCCGTGCAGGCAGGGGCACCAATTGCGCCGCCCCACCCAGGGCGCCAACTACTGCAGCCGACCTCGGGCCGCTCCTGAGGACAACACAAATATCTTGGGGAAGTGTGATGGCAAGTGTCACAGGGAATAAGCCCCAGGAGCATGCTGACAATTAACTGCAGAGAAACTAGCCCATCGTCTGCTTGTCCACGGAGTGCTGAGATAGCAAAATACCTGCAACCCAGACAACAGCAACAGAGTGACTCTCAATAGGATGCACACAGGCCTTTTCACACACCTCTGCAGCCCTTTCCTGCTTGAGGCTGTATCCTGCTGGAACACCCTTCCCAAAGAGAACTTGAAACATCTGGTTTGAAATGAATGACCACCCAGGAGATTTTCCAGCCCATGAGCCCTCTTTTCCTTTAGGCGGCCCTTCCAGGTAAGGGGTACAATATTCTGGGCAGTTTAGGGAAAACTTGCCCTGCCTGTGTCATTCTGTTTGCTGGATAAATCCAGGACTTGAGTCTCTAGGTGCATCAAGCTGGGAGCTTTCAGCAGTGCTAATTTCACTTGAAAATAACCCCCCCACAAACATACCCGTTTGCTGCACGGCAAAGGTAAATGAGAAGAGCTGTGCAGATGGACTTCAACAGCTTTCCCATTCGCCCCCCAAGAAAGCAAAAGGAAGGAGACGTCACTCCACCCCAGCATGTGCCAAGCAGATTTGCGGGCAATGCTCTCCCACCTGGCTTTGTTAAGGAGCAACTGAGTTTTGCAAGTCCCTGGACTGGCCATTATTCTCTTTGTTTACTTGTTTATACAAATGCTAAAACGGAGGCACCTAGATACACATTCTTGGGACAACTTATACATTCACGGTAACACAATTACAGTTCCGCCCCAGCCCCTCTCTTGCCATGCCTGAGGGGAAAACATGCTCTGAAATATGCATCAGATATGGGATATTTTGGACCAAGTCGAATCCAAAGCTGGAAGGAGGCAGATTTCACTGTACGTTAGCGTGACGAAAGCCAGGACGTGTTATTATAGGCAAGCCAAACGGCTTCCTCCTCATATGCAGCAGAATGTTATTGATGGGAGAATATTGCAGAGCATGCGGGTAATTAGGTTCTAGTACTACAGTTTGGGAATAGGCATGTTAGAGCAATATCCACCCGCCAGCCTATACACCAGGGCGACTTACTTCTGACCACTCATGGCAATGGCACAAACTGACAGAGCCACAAACTGATCTGTCAGCCTGAAATTTAAGTTTCAATAGCCAACATTTTCTCCTGGTGGAAACAGGGCTCACAAATTGTCAGTTGTCAACAACAGAGCTGGAGAACCATTTGCAGTGACCTAAAGCATCAGATTTCACCTTTGTTGCTTGTTATACATTGAGGACAGATCACAATTTCCACTCATGGTTCTCAGTCATTCCCTGACTTTCTATGACCTGTTTGCAGAAGGTGCATTTCCAAGTCTGTGTTTCTTCTGAAGGGACAGAAAGAGCATTGCTACAAAGACCACAGCCCTGCTCAATAAATTGATGCTAGACACAGTCCCGCTCCATAACTTACCTTCAGGAAAGAATGTAGATCTGCCAGGGTGGGCCTAACTTTATGGGTTTCACCTGCGCCTTTTGTGTTGGCGTAATGTTCGTAAGTTGGCACAACATCCACGGTGTTGTAGCCAAAGGTCCTCAAGTACAAAGTGCTGCTGTGGGTGAGATGGCTGGGATGGACAGTGTCACCGGCATCAGGCTGTCCGTAGTGAGGTTTGCTGCTGTCCTCGGTGCTGATCAGGGTGCTAATGGTGAACCTGCCACTGGAGTGGGCCGAATCGAGAGTTAGTTCTGTGACTGGCAACTCCGCCATTTCTTCCCTGCTCTTCGCTCTGCCTGGGTCTTTCTTGGCCGAGGGAGGACGAGCCTGCGATGCTATAGGTGGCACAGGAGAGTATGGAGACTTTATACGCAGCAAAACCAGAACGAACCAACTGGCCCCCCACTTAATCAATTACTCACAAGGAAAACTAATTGGCTTGAACCACCCAGAGCTGGTTATGGGAAAGAATAGCCTGGAGGCGTATCCAAGTGCCCGTTACCAGAATCACTGGCTTCCAGTGACTGATCGGGGCTGCGATAACAGATCGGAGATTAAGTCCCAAGGACAGATCAGTGAGAGAATGTGGAGTTATGTTTCCCCTGCAGCCTAACCAGGTACATTCTGTTCCCACTACAAGTTATGTAAAAACAAAAACAACACCTCTCTCGGCGGGATATTGCCCAGCCTGAAAGGCCTCTGTAAAATGGCTGTAGAGGAGGCATATTGGTCTTTCCTTGTTACTGCCTATGCTACTCAGAGGCTTTCAGGAAGAGCTGCTGCGTTTAAGCCTGCCATATAGGAACCAGAGAGACTGTGGTGGGGAAGTGTAAAGAAAAGTGCTGTCTGTTAGGCCAGATAACTTAACACAACACACAAGGTCAGATTCAGCTCTTGATGGTGCCGTTTTAATTTGCCCAGCACCTTCTCCCCACACAAGGAATCCCAAAGATCTCGGGAGTATGGAATAAGGCTGCTGGAGAGTTTAGTAAACCAGAGCGCGAGGAGTTGGGAGATGCAGCGGGAGAAAAGAAAAGTCTGGGTCAGGAGAGTGGGCAGAAGCTGTGAGGGAAACAGATGGCAAGAGAGGCAGAGAAGAAAGCTCTCCTGCCAGCCCCAGTGAGCCTGTGGGAAGGAGAAGAAAGGCCGCTGACACGAGGCAAGAGCCCTCGCTGGTGAGGTGCTGAGTGCACGCAACTCCTGCTGACTTCCGTGGGAGTTCAGAATGTGCAGCACCTCAGGTGAAGAACGCAGCAGCTTGCAGGCTCGTGGCTGAGCAAGATTGGGGGCGGGCGAGTTCTTTGTGGGTGACGGGATAGGACCGTGATTCTTTGTGTGGGTGTGGGTGTGTAGGGGGGGAATAGGAGAGCACTTGTCTGTGCACGCTGGGATCCAGAGACAGGAATAGAGCATTTCATTATCCTCAGTACCAGTGTGGAAGGCACCCGGGAATGATCTGACCATGAGTCAACAGTGTGACACTTGCAAAAAAAAAAAAAAAAAAAAAAAAGCAGCAAACAACATTCTCAGATCTATTAACAGGAGCATTAAAAGCAGGACACAAGAAGTAACTTTTCTGCTCTACTCGACACTGATCAGGCCTCAATTGGAGTATTGTGTCCAGTTCTGAGTGCTACATTTCAAGAAAGATGTGGACAAATTAGAGAAGGTCCAGAGAGTAGTGACAAAAATGATTAAAGGTCTAGAAAATAGTAGCTATGAGGGAAGATTGGAAGAATTGGGCTTGTTTAGTTTAGAAAAGAGAAGACTGAGAGGGGACGTGATAGCAGTTTTCTAGTATCTAAATGGGTGTTATAAGGAAGAAGGAGAAAATGTGTTCTCCTTGGCCTCTGGTGATAGGACAAGAAGCAATGGGCTTAAACTTCAGCAGGGGAGGTTTAGGTTGGACATTAGGAAAAACTTCCTGCCTGTCAGGGTTGTTAAACACTGGAATAAATTGCCTAGGGAGGTTGTGGAATCTTCATCACTGGAGATTTTTAAGAGCAGGTTAGACGTGTCAGGGATGGTCTAGATGGTCGTGGTGCTGCCATGAGAGCTGGGGACTGGATTTGATGACCTCTCCAGGTCCCTTCTCGTCCTCTGATCCTATGATTTTACAGAAGGCGGAATGAGGTATTGAAGGACAAAGCAATTCACTAAAGGTGAGCTTACTCAGGGGGCTGCAGAAGAGCAGGAACTGGATTTAGCTCTCATTGAGTCCCTGGCAGGGGCTAAAATATGCTTTATGCAAAATGGGGCAAGTGAGCTATCATTTAAGAGCTAGTGATCCCCTGAATGGATAATTCTATTTGTGTGCATATATCTTTCTTGTGTGCAAAGTTAGAAATATGAAGTGTAAACTTGCTTATTAATCTAGGTCCTTAGTGAAAACCATTAATAGTACTTATGGAACTTAATGGTCTGGTTCTCAAGGCAGTGATTTATGAATAGTCTTGTTTTTCTAGTAAGTCTGGATTATGGTTGACTCTAGAAAGACAGGTGACCATGCCATCGGGTGCTGGAATTCATCTTGAATTTCATATTTTTCCACTAGGGTGGGGAGAATGGAACAAAGGATTCCCATCCTGGGGAAATTCTGTTTAAGGGATGGGACGCAAATGAGGATCTTCAGCTAGCTTCACAGACTTCTCCCCACCCAAAGGGGATACATGAGGAGGCCTGGAAACAAAGAACTCTAATGTGGAGGGGCAAGAAGCAGCTGGGCCCAGATCAGAAAAAAGATCAGCTCTGGCATGAAGGACTTTACCTGAAATAAGCACTAGCATGAGAAATGATGATTTGTAACAACTTCTCTGAGTCTATGACACTTAGCTGGCAAGTTTTATTTATTTTAGATTAGTCACTTATGAAATGCCTTGTGCTCATTTTCCTTCTTTATGATGAAGAGAGAAAACCTGAAGTGTTTGTGTGTGAAAAAAACCAACCCTTTTCTTTAAAGATTAAAAATCCAGCTCTTCTCTACCCTGTGGGATGCTGTGGTGACTGCAGAACTAGTGACGTTAACATCTCAGGAGACTGAAAGCTGAACAGTGACAGGGATTTTGAAGTCAGATAGTTTAAAACTTTGCTTTGGCCAATGCCGATATCTCAATCTCTTCAGAGAATTTTTTTTTTAAAACAAAAGTTAAACTCTCCTGACCTTTGGGTTAACGTCTGAGAGGTTGAAAGACAAATCTCTGCGACTTCCACAAAGTTCTCCATCAAACCCTGGAAAGACCAAATAAGAATGGCTAAAGCTGCATAGGCCACACTTCAGCAAGGTATTGAAGGACTTGCTTATCTTTAATTGCCTGTCTTAAGCGTGTGTTTCAGTGCTCTGTTGGATAGGGATTTCTCATATGGTTAGAGTGAGGCAGGTTTCAATGCTTTGCTGATTTAGGGCCTTAGTACTGCTGTGAAGATTTGTTTTCCCCCAATCCACACAACGGGTGCAGCAGTAGGGGAGCAGCAGTACAAGATTGCTCCATGAGGTTCCACCCCACCATGCAAGGCCCAGACTTCATGTGTGAGGAGCAATTTTCACTTCTTACTCAGACCCTCTCCTCGGGAACGAGGCTGACACGAAGGGTGCTCATTACCCCTAGCAGCGATGGGGACAGCTGTCAAAGAGCCATTCCACATAGGGCAGCAAACACGTCATATGAAAAGTCCTGGCCGGGCCTGGCCACAAATGGGGGATCTCAGGGTGAAAGACACCTCAATCGTTAATCCCCTGAGCCACGCGGAACCAGAAACTGCCTTTTAAATGGGCTTCTGTTCACCCGACATACACAGCGCCCGGCGGCCTGTGAAACGCCTACTGGTGCTAACAGGAACAGCCTCCGTGCACTGAGAAGTGAGCAAACCCTGCAGGGACTGGAGTAGTCACTTCGAGCAAATCACACACACCTCAGGGAAGCCGAGCATGCAGCTCCCATAGACTCCCTGGTTCAGTGCGCTATTCGGCACCCCTCAGGAGAGGGCCCGTATGGAATACCCGGTAGAGGTGCTCAAGTTATTATTTGCAGTTATTCTTCATACTGCAGGAGCCTGGACAGGCCCCTTGCAGTGATCGGGGCCCTATTTGTAAAAACACAGCTTGAAAGAGCTAGAGATCATGGTCCCAATTCAGAAAACCATCGAAGGCTCAATTCCAGCCCCCCCAGCCAGGCTCAGGTTCCACCGGTTTCAACGGGGGACCCAGTTCCTAAATTTCAACCCGACTTCAATGGAGCACACTCGTGCACCTAAAGACCAGCATGTTCTCACGCACTGTCCGGAATAGTGACAGGCTGCCCATATCGGGGCCTAATTGCTGACCTCATCTGTCCCACTAGGAAACTTCTGAAAGCCCCGAGGTGGGGGCAGGCGTGTGTGAGCGGCAGGGGGCTTTTCTGCAGACTGAACACTGGATGGCTTGTTCTCCGGAGTCACACGCCAATTTAAAAGCAGTTACAGATAAGATCTCTACAGATGGCAAACAGAAGCGGGGTAATAAAGTTTGAGTGCGACACCAGAAAAGCCATTTGAAATTCAGCGCTATGCACCCTGGCAGGTTAATGGAAAATTGAGTCTGTTCCGAGTGCCTCTGGCGAGCCTTTGGATTCACATTGCAGCTTTCGTTTGCCTTCCTTCTACTGCAGGTTATTTCCATCCAGGGTGTATTGGCTCATGAGCAGGCTGGCAGGCAGTGGGGTTACGCGCCTCCTGCTCCCAGGGATGGGCTCTTACTCGTGGGAGTCGACCCCCTGCTGGCGGTGAGCTCACTCCCTGTGGTAGACACTCCCTCGCTTGGGGGGAAGATTACACGGCCTCCCGCACAGGACCGGCTGTAATGCAGCACTAACCTACACCAGCACACTCATCCCCCAGGGGCAGGGCTGGAGCCTCACACACCTGCCACTGGAGACAGCAGAAGGGCTCTGGGGGGCATATGGGGTGCAGTAGTGGGGGGAGACAGGCTGAGGTGGGAAGCTGTCTGGAGGGACATGGTTTAGGGCCAGGGGGTGGTATGAAAGAGGAGGGTTTACTGGGGAATGGGCTTTGGCGGATGGGGAGCAGTGGCCAGGGGTTTGGGGTGGGAACGTGGGACTCCATGGAGCGGGGGGAGGGTGGTTTATTAGCATGTTTGGGGGGTGGGTTTGAGGCAAAAATATTGGTGTGGCTGGGAGACGGGGGGAGCGGGGACAATGGGGGAAAGAGGAAGGAAGAGAAGAGTGGGTGCCCAGAGAAGAGGTGTTGAAAGGGGGGGTGGGTTTGAGGCAAAAATATTGGTGTGGCTGGGAGACGGGAGGAGGGGGGGGCATGTCAGGAGAAGGATTTGTAGGGCTTGGGTTTTACTTGCAGGTGGGTGGGGTGGTAGAGGGATTAAGCAGGGTCCTGTGAGGGGGCACACTGGAAACTGTGGGTTGGGGGTTTGAGGTGGTGGAGTCTGTGGGGAAGAGGATGTTGGGGGTGGGTAAGATGCTGTGGAAGAAGAGTTAGTTGCAGGTCTATGATGGGTTGGGGGGCAGGTTGGTTATTGGGGAAGCTAGAGGTGATGTGTGGAAGGCTGTGGAAAGGGGGTTGAGGCGCTATGATGGGAGGGTAGAGGAGGGGCACCCAGGGAGCGCACCAGGGACAGGCCGTGCCAGGGCTCTGTGGACACCTCTCACCTCACACGGCTGGCTCCAGGTCCCCTGTGCTTATCACACTGCGGGGCAGCTCAGCACCAGGAGGTGCTGGCACCATCAGGTGCTGGGCTCAGGCCGTGGGGTGAGGGAGAGCGCTCAGCTCTGGCCAACTGCAGGTATCCCCATGAGACACCCACAGCTAGAACCGCTGGGCTCCATCAGAGGCCGTCCAGGTTCCCCTGGGAGAAGCGAGCTCACAGAGAAAGCTGGAGGCAGCCCAGTGGGCAGAGACCCCCTGGGCACAATAAACACTTAAGGCCTGCAGCGAGCGGGCAGGACCTGGGGAGAAGCTGCCTGCTCAGCCAAGGCTCCCAGGAGAGAGACAGTGGTGCTGTGGCAGCCTGCAGGAAACTAGGCCCTGAGGAGAAGTGACTCTGTTCCGAACAAGGGCCCAGTGGTGTGGGCTGGCCTGGCTTCCCCTAACCCCAGCCAAGAGTTGTGGAAGGGAAGATTCTTCACCCGTTAGAGCAAGCTAGGGCTGTCTAATCCCCTAGCGCTACACAGAACCATAGAGCTGCAAGAGACCTCAGGAGTCATCAGGTCCAGCCCCCTGCCCAAAGCAGGACCAATCCCAACTAAATCAACCCAGCCAGGGCTTTGTCAAGCCGAGACTTAAACACCTCTAGGGATGGAGACTCCACTACTTCCCTAGGGAACCCATTCCAGTGCTTCACCACCCTCCTAGTGAAACAGTTTTTCCTAATATCCAACCTAGACCTCCCGCACTGCAACTTGAGACCATTGCTCCTTGTTCTGCCATCTGTCACTACTGAGAACAGCCTTTCTCCAGCCTCTTTGGAACTTCCCTTCAGGAAGTTGAAGGCTGCTATCAAACCCCCCTCACTCTTCTCTTCTGCAGACTAAACAAACCCAAATCCCTCAGCCTCTCCTCGTAGGTCATGCGCTCCAGCTCCCTAATCACTTCTGTGTTATCTTGCCAAGGGCAGAGACTACTCCTGACTAGCCAGCAGGGTGGCTCCTAACAAGGGCTTGAAAAAACTGAAAATGTAACAAATAGTATTGCAGACCCTTAGAGACTAACAAAACATGTCGATGGATCACGAGCTTTCGTGGGCACAGCCCCCTTCTTCAGCTGAAAATCAGAAATGGGTTTGGCAGAATATGGAGATGGAATCAGGTAGTGCAGCTTCCCATCTCACCACAAGGGGGCACTAACCCTAAGAGCCCCATCTTGCACCCACACAGCTAAGGGCGTCCTACCCTCCGGGCAAGGAGGAATAACCAAGTTGTCATGATGAGGGGTGCAGTTAATCAAAATTCAACCATAGCATAGGTACAACCTGCCCCAGCTGGGCACTTAAGCAGGAGTTCATGTTAAGCAGGTGATTACATTTAAGCATGTGTTTAAATGCGGTACGGCATCAGAGCCGGACTATTTGGTACCTTCTGGATCGAGGCGCAGCAGTGGGAGAGGTCACTTGCCTCAGGGCTAGTTTTGTGATCAGCTGTAGCAACAAAAAAAAAAAAAAGCCCCAAATGATTGTTGAAGGGCAGAGCTTAGTTCAGTACCCAGGCCAGGGTAAATTGAGCGCCTTGGAGGTTAAACTAAATGATCCAACGGCACGTTGGGTCTTCAAACTGTATAATAAATACATCTGGGTATTCCATACTTCCAGCTGAAGTTCTTTTTACTTACTCTCCATAGATTACTATCAAGGTAACAAATATATTTCTCTGTTTTTTTCGTATAGGTTCATTTTGGGTACGTCTACACAGCAACATTATTTCAAAATAACTAGCCCAGCTCAGGGGCTTTTCCTTTGGGGTGTTGAACAGTGAGTTGCAGTTTTTAGTTTTTTTGTGGCCGGGGCACACCCAGTGACTGATTGTGAGACTGGCTGGTCTCAGTTTAAGTCTTCAGTCCACCAAAGGACTTTAAGCTAGTGCCTGAGCATTCCTGAGAAATAGAGTAGTACACATTTCATACATTTTCTATTTTTTTTTCAGTGTTTGATCATTTTAGGAAACTTTCTTGGGTTAGGAGATGTATAAACATATAGTAAGATAATGTTCCTGCCCCCAAAGAACTCTCACTGGACAAACCAAAGGGACACACTCCCAATTTGTTATGATTAGGTATGTTGCCCAAGGTCATGCCATCTGTGGCAGAAACGGCAAACTGAAGCCTGAGCTCTGGTCCAGACATATTACTGCACTGTTCTGTGGAGCCAGTGCAGGCCTGGATCCAGATTTCATGGACTGGATCAGTCTCCAGTAAACACAAAACAACCACAACTCCCTAACACAAAGACAGGGAAGGAAACTGCCTGGAGCTTGGTGCATCATTAAGGGCCTCTCTGGTGCCCTTGCAAACTTCTCAGCAAGCTTTACGTGCGAGACACAATATGATCCGAGGGGAAGTAAAGCATTTCTTGTAAAACATGCATCATGAGACTTTGCCTGGAGGGCAGCTGTCCAGTTACAACAGGCAAAGAGACCCACAAGCGGCGGTGGGGGAAAGGAACAGCTTCCGAGGGAGGGTGGCAATGACAGGGGAAACAGAGGTGGGGGTAATAGCATTCACAATGCTACAGCACGCCAGAGGGCAGGAAAAGCTACGAGCAATGAGATGCTTAGCAATGTGCATCATGAGACTTTGCCTGGAGGGCAGCTGTCCAGTTACAACAGGCAAAGAGACCCACAAGCGGCGGTGGGGGAAAGGAACAGCTTCCGAGGGAGGGTGGCAATGACAGGGGAAACAGAGGTGGGGGTAATAGCATTCACAATGCTACAGCACGCCAGAGGGCAGGAAAAGCTACGAGCAATGAGATGCTTAGCAATGGTCCTGAGAAGAATCACAGCCAGGCTCTGCAACGACCCACAACTGAACAGCAGCTTGTATTCTTACAGCAGCTATTCCACCAAGGTGAGGTGCCTCCTCCCTTCTCTGTCTGGTATAAATGGCGAGGGTCCCCACTTCTCTCTCCACTCTGGTCATCTGAGGAAGTGGGCCGTGCCCTCGAAAGCTCATGATACTGGCTAT